TCTTTTATATTGGTCCTTTGAAAAGTCAGATACAAGTTACACATTTGTATTTATATATAATCGATTCTAAAGCGTTTTTGTATCATGCGCTGTTTGAGATGAAATTGCTACTGTAAAAGTATACGTGTTCGTTTGATTCCATTTGCACTGGGTGAAAGTCTTTATTTCCAAATGTTCCTGCCATTTTTAAGAGACTTTGAAAGTAAAACTTTTAAGGATGAAACTAACATGTACACTTGGGAAATCCTTGGAAAAAAAATAGACGGAAATATATGGCGTTTTCTTAAACTTACAAATGACGCAAGATTTAAAGAAACCTCAACTTTGATACTTAATAAAAAATAAATATATGCCTCATTATTGTACGTTGGAACGAAATGGCACGACACTATCGTTGAAGAAATTTTGTTCGAGATTTGATAGTCTAAGACATTAACAGTTCGCGAATCGAAAGCTAACAATATATCTTTTAGCAGAAATAATGGAGAAAATGTATTAACTTTTTGTTTAGATTTGCAAACTTTTCAAAGCTTCGAGAGCACATGTCGAAAACATAAATTTGTACAGAAATGTGCGGGGTACACACTATTGAAATTCCAATGTTAATGTATTGCCATATTTTCTATTATATTTGTCCTTCCTAATTTATAGCTAGATTGCTGGCTCCGATCTCTAAATCTTCAATCAGCAGTGATATCATATTTCATTGTACAACGATACGACGATTGACACATTATACAAAAGCAAATTATACGTACTATTAAACTTGCCAAAGTAAGTCAAAATCTTAAAGATATTTTATCAACAATGAAGTACTTAGAATAATTTAATGCTAGCCTTAGTTTGAAATAGTCAATTCATATTATTGAAATTCGTATAAATGGATCTTAAGAAAGTTACATGGCATTTAATTTCTATATGATTCCTGTTGAGAAAGATAATCTAAATATTATAGTTTATGCTTAAGTCACTTTGTAAATAGTTGGAAAATAAATGACTTTATCGAACCTGTCATCTTCATAATTACTTCAAGGTGATTTAAATTTGATCTGAATTAAAAAAAAAATATTCATAAAATCTTTAAATGATAATGTTTGATCGATTACTTTGCATTTAAAGACAATTAATGACCTTGTAACAGTTAGATCTATTTGAAATCAAATTAATTAAACTATATATGCAATGTATCCTTCTACAGTGCAAAGGTGTATTCAAACTTAAAATATATACATTTATATACAATGTATCCTTCAACAGCGTAAAGGTGTATTTAAACTTATACGCAGGAGTTTGATAGATTGTGAGAAAGGACATTAAATACAATTTTAAACTCTGTCAATGATTTCAAGAGAGAGAGAGAGAGAGAGAATACAAATAGACACATGAAATCAAGATTTTAACTACACATAAAATGTTCCTCATAATAATGATGAAAATAAGTTCTATTAAAAAATTCAATACACAAAAACGATGAAGTCTTTACTATGGATATTTTTCTATCTTGGTTGTTCGCTATGTAGTGTATGCGCCACACTTGACTCCAGGTCCGTTACTCGAGTAGTCTCCAACCTTCATTTATTCCTCAATTTTAAAACTGCATTTTTAAACCGGATATTACAGTGTGTTCCACGTAAGGAGTTACTATAGTATTCGGAACCACTCACCCAGATACGGAACGTCTAGAAATCTGTCTAGTATATGTTTTTCTTTTCTTGTTATTCTTTAATTGTTTTGAAAGTATTTTCCAATTTCATATGGGTTGTTATTCAGCTAGTTGGTTAAATGGTTAGACGTTAGTTGTGGTTCATAAAATAGTTAGACATTAATTGATTGATTTTTGGTTGCTTAACGTCCAGTGGCAACTATTTCATGCATTTTCAACGACAAGAACAAATTAACAATAAATACAATAGATAGGTCCTGTAATAGATGCCGTCCGGGATGAAGGTCTGTGAAGTTTAGGCTGCCACTGGAAAATAAGGGTATATTGGAAAGGGACAGAAATTTTGCCGTACAACAGGCCACCTACGGACCCTCAGAGAGTTGTTGCAAGTGTTTTTATCGTGCAGAGAGCGTGGCACTCTCTGTACACGAGGCATCAGATCTAATGTCCCCATTCTGACTGGACGTAGCTGCGTACTTATACATCCCGCACAGTCAAACGGACGTCCCTCTTTGGCAAGGGTTTTACTGCCAATAGGTTGCAGACCAAAGTGACCATATTTCTATTCTATATTTTGGGAATGTTATACATGAAATGGTTAGCGGTTAATTGTTGTTGATGAAATGGTTCGACGTTAGTTGTGATAAATGAAATGGTTCGAAGTAGTTGTGACTAATGAAATGATTAAATGTTAGCTGTGGTTGTTGAAATGGTTCGACGGTAGTTGTAACTAATGAAATGGTTAGGTAGTAGTTGTGTTTGATGTACTGGTTAGATGTAAGTTGTGGTTGATGAACTGGTTAGAAGTTACTTGTGTGTGGTTGATGAAATGGTTTGAGGGTAGTTGTGGTTGATGGCATGGTTCGACGTTAGTTATGGTTGATGAAATGGTTACATATTAGATTTGATTGATGGAATGGTTAGACGGTAGTTGTGGTTAATGTGATGGTTCGTCGTTAGTTGCAACTAATGAAATGTTTAGATGTTAGTTGTGGTTGATGAAATAGTTATAGTTTGGTTGTGGTATATGAAATAGTTAGAGGTAAGTTGTGGTTGATGAAATGGTTAGGAATTGTTTTGGTTGATGAAACGGTTAGATGTTTGTTGTGGTTGATGAAATGGTTCGAAGGTAGTTGCGACTAATGGTATGTTTAGATGTTAGTTGTGGTTGATGAAATGGATAGAGATTAATTGTGGTTGATGAAATGGTTAGATGATAGCTGTGGTTGATGTAATTGGTAGAAGTTAGTTGTGGTTGATGAAATGGTGGATCTTAGCTGTGGTTGGTGTAATGATTAGAGGTTTTTTGTGGTTGATGTAATGGTCAGATGTTAGTTGTGGTATATGAAATGGTTAGAGGTAAGTTGTGGTTGATGAAATGGTTAAGTATTAGTTTTGGTTGATGAAACGGTTAGATGTTTGTTGTGGTTGATGAAATGGTTCGACGGTAGTTGGACTAATGGTATGTTTAGATGTTAGTTGTGGTTGATGAAATGGATAGAGATTAATTGTGGTTGATGAAATGGTTAGATGATAGCTGTGATTGATGTAATTGGTAGAAGTTAGTTGTGGTTGATGAAATGGTGGATCTTAGCTGTGGTTGGTGTAATGGTTAGAGGTTTTTTGTGGTTGATGTAATTGTCAGATGTTAGTTGTGGTATATGAAATGGTTAGAGGTAAGTTGTGGTTGATGAAATGGTTAGGTATTAGTTTTTGTTGATCAAATGTTTAGATGTTAGTTGTGGTTGATGTAATGGTTCGAAGGTAGTTGCGACTAATTACATGTTTAGATGTTACTTATGGTTGATGAAATTGATAGAGGTTAGTTGTGGTTGATGTAATGGTTAAAGGGTAGTTGTGGTGGATGTAATGATTCGACGTTAGTTGTGGTTGATGAAACAGTAGATCTTAGCTGTAGTTGATGTAATTGTTAGAGGTTAGTTGTGGTTGATGTAAAGGTCAGATGTTACTTGTGGTTGATGTAATGGTTAGATGTTAGTTGTGTTGATGTAATGGTTAGATGTTAGTTGTGGTTGATGTAATGGTTAGATGTTAGTTGTGGTTGATGTAAAGGTTAGATGTTAGTTGTGATTGATGTAATGTTAGATGTTAGTTGTGGTTGATGTAATGGTTATAGGGTAGTTGTGGTTGATGTAATGGTTAGATGTTAGTTGTGGTTGACGAAATGTTAGAGGGCAGCTGTGGTTTATGAAATGATAAGAGGGTGGTTATGGTTGATGTGATGGTAAGATGTTAGTTATGGTTGATTAAATGGTTAGAGGACAGCTGTGGTTTATGAAATTGTTAGAGAGTGATTATGGTTGATGTGATGGTTAGCGGTAAGTTATGGCTGATATGGTGGTTAGATGTTAGTTGTGGTTGATTAAATGGTTAGAGGGCAGCTGTGGTTTATGAAATTGTTAGAGAGTGATTATGGTTGATGTGATGGTTAGCGGTAAGTTATGGCTGATATAATGGTTAGATGTTAGTTGTGGTTGATTAAATGGTTAGAGGGCAGCTGTGGTTTATGAAACTGTTAGAGAGTGATTATGGTTGATGTGGTGGTTAGCGGTAAGTTATTGCTGATATAATGGTTAGATGTTAGTGTAGTTGATTAAATGGTTAGAGGGCAGCTGTGGTTTATGAAATTGTTAGAGAGTGATTATGGTTGATGTGATGGTTAGCGGTAAGTTATGGCTGATATGATGGTTAGATGTTAGTTGTGGTTTATTAAATGGTTAGAGGGCAGCTGTGGTTTATGAAATTGTTAGAGAGTGATTATGGTTGATGTGATGGTTAGCGGTAAGTTATGGCTGATATGATGGTTAGATGTTAGTTGTAGTTGATTAAATGGTTAGAGGGCAGCTGTGGTTTATGAAATTGTTAGAGAGTGATTATGGTTGATGTGATGGTTAGCGGTAAGTTATGGCTGATATGATGGTTAGATGTTAGTTGAGGTTGATTAAATGGTTAGAGGGCAGCTGTGGTTTATGAAATTGTTAGAGAGTGATTATGGTTGATGTGATGGTTAGCGGTAAGTTATGGCTGATATGATGGTTAGATGTTAGTTGTCGTTGATTAAATGGTTAGAGGGCAGCTGTGGTTTATGAAATTGTTAGAGAGTGATTATGGTTGATGTGATGGTTAGCGGTAAGTTATGGCTGATATGATGGTTAGATGTTAGTTGTGGTTGATTAAATGGTTAGAGGTCAGTTACTGTTGATGGAATGGTTTGATGTTACTAGTGCTATGAGTAATTCTAACATGTAAATAGCTTAAAATCGTTTTCATGTTCGCCAACAGAGGAAAATTATTTTTTATCGCTAGATTTTTTCACTTTTTTAGGTGAACCATATTTTACATAGCAGCCACGACGCATTAGCTCATTCAGTTCCACGATGTCCTCCTATGTAAGTATAAAGATCATTTACCTACATACTTTTTTTTATTATTCTATTTGCATATATTAGCACAAGGACTAATTGTATAAAACAAAAAGTTAAATCACAAAAATACCGAACTCAGAGGAAAATTCAAAACGGAAAGTCCCCAATCAAATGGCAAAATCAAAAACACAAACACATCAAACGAATGTACAATAACTGTTGCCAACAAACGGAAGTCATTAAAGTTGCCGAAACTAATAGCCGATGAAAAAGTTATACATGTAATTTAGTTCTATGAATTATAGCCAATTCAAACACGATGATTGATCTGTATCCTCCATTGCATTTAGAGGAGCATGATTTTTTCAATTATGTGGCGACATAATTTTTAATGGAGTAAAAGGTCATATGTCACTTAAAAAACACTTATGGATTCCGGACAACAATCAGAGGGAAACAAAATTTCTTGAGGAATATTTTTTATGATTCAGTATTCCCAAAGATTACGCATTTTTTTCTTGAGGTGACCAAGGTGGTTTTGAGTAATTCAAAATCGGTTATTTTATTAGTGATTCAGAATATTTTTTATCGTCACCTACAAGGTTAGTCATCTTGGCAAGATTTTTTAGATAATTAAAAAAAAAATTTTTTATAAACTATTTGAAACATTAAAAAAATCCTTCTTTTTGAGATTGCATGCCCTTCGAATACAATTCTATTAAACTTCTTATTTCCATATCAATAAGGAAATATTTATATGTTTTTAAATACTTATCGCATTTATAGTATTATTTGTCTTGATACAGAGGAATGATTTAGGATAACATGAATATTTGTACATATATAACCTTATTTTAACAGCTTTTAGGGGACTCGTGGCCAATTAGGCCAACCTGGTCAAAGGTATTTTGTTTATTTTTCAAACATGCATGCACGTGCTGAATAATAGTGCTAGTGTTAATATACACTCTCATTTTAAAGGTTAAAGTTGAACTGAAATTCACATATCATTCTAATTGTTTAGTTCTCAAAAGACTAAATGTTTTGTAATACTTCTTCTCTCTGATATCATTTTTCCATGAAATCATGTATAACTTATACTAATGTTGCCATGCTGTGTACAAACATTGGTTCAAGCTTTCACTGTTGGCGGTTTAAGCTTTTTTTGAAAATAATTAACGTCATGAAAATGTATCTTTGTTTTTCTTATGTTAAAAAAAAACAATATTCGCCACGTATAGTACATATAGTCTATACTTTCATTGCATGACGCTTGATAGTAATATACACATATGACAATATATTAGTCCACAAAGCTTAATATTGCCACGAAACATTCTTTTGTATTCAAGGAACATATTGGAACAACCAATTCAAAATAAAATCATTAATGAGTATAGCGTTAAGACAAGTAATTTGCAATTCAATAGCAAAAACAAAGAGAATTCAGTACTAAAAACAAAATTAGAAACATACTATATAAACAGAACTTTGTGCAGAACATCTAATATTAAAAAAGTAGTGATGCTTGCAGCTGATTTATTTTAGATGGTAATCAAAATGTTATCTTTCAAAAATTCTGCAGCACTAAAATAACAATGGAGAAAGATCTCCTAGATATTGCATGCAATAATATGTGCGCATTTATGTAGAACTGTAGATAGTGATGCTTAAAATCAAATATACAAAAGGGCAATATAATTAAGGAATAGGACATGGATGATATAACAAGATATTTCCAAAGTTCTGATGATCAGCACCATCAGTGAAAGCAACTGTTTCTGTATGCAAATTTCACGTTAGCGGAATATTTATATGTTTTGAAGAAGCAAACGAATGCAAAACGCAGGACTTTCACTTGAAATACATCAGTCTGTAAAATTATGATTTGTGTTTATCGTTCATCCATTTTTCAGTTTGGTTTAACTTTCTAATTTTCTATTCCATTTCTGATTGGTCATACGTGTGATTAGTTTCGTAAAATAATATTTATAAGTAGAATCCCTTTATGACATATAAAATTATGTTGGCTAATGAACTTTTGAGTTGACCTTTTAGAGTTAGGTTTAGTAGTATTTTTATTTCTATTTTCGGTTTGAATATTCTTAAGTTTATATATATTTCTAGATGTGCTAGTACTATTTAGTTTTATTTTAGCTTTGTTGTCAAAATTATGTAAACCAAGTGGAGATCGTTCCGCTTAAGTAATCATAATTTCGTTTTCACTTAAACCCATGAAAGAGTTGTCGCAAGGTGGTCTTTAACGTGTAGAGAGCAAAACACTCTCGCTATTCGATACAACGGATTTTACATCCCATTCAGACCGGAAGTGGCTGCGTATTTAAACAGCCAATACAAACAAATATACAAGATTCAGAGAAGTCTGTTTCATCGGAAGTAGAACTGTTCACATAATACCATAGTAAAACTGAGCAAAACATTGACAGCGGCATATAAGACTTGATAATCACAAATATCTGGTATTATTATGGCAAAGCTAAATGTTTTATGAAATAGAATTACTCGATTCTGAATTTTAGAGACTGAACACCTTTGTCGTGGGATCATCTTTTGTTTGTATCCAATACAACTGAATTTTCTCCTGATGCAGCTAGAATATTACTCAAATGTAACAAATCGTAAGCTTAAATATGATACTTAATTATTTTCCAGTATATGAAAGAATCTACTTACAGACATGATTTTGGGGCAGCAAAGGTAATGGAATTTCATGTTCAGTGTTGTTTTGTTTTGTTTGTGATATTCTACGAAGTTGAGATTTGTGTATACATGTGTAAAACTTTTTTTTTACTTTTACTTAAATCATTTAGATTGCCTTTTACAAATAGTGCAGACATATACTGAATGCAATGTTGATATCAATTCATAACAAATAACAATTAAAAAAAGTGTGATCCAATGACGTGTTAAAAAAAGAAATACATCAGTCGTAAAAGATTTAAATTCTCTGCATATTTCATCTCAATCAATATATTCTGAATTGGGTAATACATATCTAAAGTCAAATAGCAGTTGCACAATGTAAAAAAAAATCTATTTCAAAAGCAACTAATGTACATGTATTTTATTGAATTAGCACCGGAAACTAGTTTTAAGAGTCGTACGAAAAGTTGACGTGAAAAGAAATATTGTTTTACAAGCTTTATATATATATGGGTTTAAATAGACAGAGAGACAATGAGAGAGAATTTGGTCCAATAATCCAACTGTGTCATATTCTTAAGCTTTTTAACCAATGACGTAACAAAACATATCCACCTCTCCTTACATCCAGAGTGTGAAATTGTTGTACCGCCGACGACTTAGTTCTGTTATGCTTTATAATGTTTCTTTCAGAATTCAAACTTTACCAGGCCCATCCCTCAGACATATTACAACACTGAGGAAATGAATCAGCGGCTATATCAACCACGCCCTCGAAGGGTATACGATTGCTTTGATCGCTTCTCATTCATACTTTAAGGCAATTTTTGCCACATCATGTGATTTAACACACCATATATTGCTTTTATTGCATTGGTATATGTGTCATCTTACATTTTGTTTTGTCGCATATAATCTTGACATGCTTAAAAAAATATTCCTTTTTTCTCATGTTTTATTTTTAAATTGAATTCGTCATACTTATAAAATTGAGAATGGAAATGGGGAATGTGTCAAAGAGACAACAACCCGTCCAAAGAGTAGAAAACAGCCGAAGGCCACCAATTGGTATTCAACACCGCGAGAAAATCCCGCACCCAGAACACCCGAGCTTCAGCTGGCCCCTAAACAAAAATGTGTACTAGTTCAATGAAAATGGATGTCACACTAAACTCCAAAACATATTATACCTTTTTCGAATTTATTTTGATAAAATAAAGGTTTAATGATGCATTAATATTCATAGAAAAAGGATGTGTTTGGAATAGACTATGTGAAAATAGTAGCCAAGTTTGAAGACAAAGTGCACGACACAAAGGGAAGTGCGCTGTCCTCAAACGAGGCTGCTATTTCAAATAGTCGACGCTTTTATTATGATGTTCCATGTTACTTGCCGTTAATGCACTGCCGGGGAATGGTACACGTTTTTGTAACGTTCTACATGGAACATAAAATGGGGCTATTTTGTTTTCCTTTAAATTCGTTAATATAGATGAATTCATATTTTAATTACTTTATAACATTGTGTGCCATCAAACAAACATTTCTATTTCAACCCACCGTCATTTTCATAAAACCTTAGAAACTTTTGACTAATTCGAAAAAATAAATACAACAAATGTATTTCTCTTTTGATTTTTAATTTGACAAAATCGAAAGAAAACATACGGAAAGGTTGATAACTTGGACGTAGTTCTTAACAAACCTATAAAAACAGACCTTGGGGCACCAACCTATACAAGGTCCATTCATAGGAAATAAAACACCCTTTTCAATATGCATTTATATACGACTTTTCCTCTAAAAGAATGGAAGCACCAGACATTTTTTTGAAGTTTTAGACGGAGATGACTTCAGACTTGCTTTTAGTATGACGTTAGTACATCAAAAACAACATATTTTGTGCTTCAGAAATTTGACAGCCATAAACAAAATAAATGTTATTTTAAATGTTAAAATGGAAATTATTTGGTAAAAATACTGAAAAAGAAAAACGCATTGCAAACAAATCAGACAATCTTACAATGACTCAATCCTAGCACAGCTCTAATGCATTTAACTCATGACAAAGAGTGGGTACTGAATGTACATTTCATATGCTTTTCACTATAGAATCGAATGCTGTTTTTTTTTTAATTCCGTGTTTCACGCAAAATGTAAAGCTAACTTACTTTCACTATATAAATTTCCAAAACACAGCATATAATTCTTATCAGCTCTTGGAAATAAAAAAAATATATAGACTATTAACATAACTTTAAAACACAAAATGTCGGCAGAAATGGTATAGTGAGACGAAAGTCGTATCAATCCACGCGAAATCAATAAAACGTACACAGCTGAAATTCGCATATTAACGAGAATGTCGATTTCAAAGTAAATAGCTCGTAAAAAATCCAATACAATTATCATTAAACATGTATTCATACCATAGAGAGTAATTTATTTTTACATATTTCTATCAATTATTCATACTAACAGCATAATATATAATCTAACGTCAATTATTTTTTCAAGTTGATATGATATGCAATTTATTTTAAACCTGTGTAAAAAAAAAGTTGTTGCTTTAGTAGGTTGGCGGAGATAATAATCTTTATTGTTTTCATACAGATTGATAACTAATGGCGGAATCAAATATTTCGTCTTTCAGCCAAAAAAGATCACAAAAATAATTTACCTTTTATAAAAATATTAAATTCAAGTTCAAGTACTATACATTTTCTGATGAGTTGTATTATATTCTATTTATATATATGTATGAAATTGCTATTTCAATGTCTGCACTGTTGTATATTAAATAAGTTTGATAAAAAAAAAAATTAAAAAAAAATTAAAAACAACAAAAAAAAACAAAATAAAACAAAAGATCACAATTTGTTTAATTAAACACCTTTGTAATGTTTTTTTTAAGATGACAATGTCAATAATTTAAGACAGGTTATGAACTCATTGATGGAAGGAATCCGATGCTCTCTCAACTTTGATACAGCCTCTATCTTAAATTGATAGATTCGTTTTTTTCTTATTGGTTTATGTTGTAATCATTTTTTGTATCTTAATTTAACTTTTTTTTAATAGGCAAGGGATGATATGAGAATACCTATAGATCAAGGCAGAGTAAGTATTATGTTTATGACACAGTTACGTTAAATTTAAACTAGGAGGTAAATATACACCGCAAAAAATAGAAAGTACATTTTGCATATGTTTCTTCAAAAGATCAAAACCCGTATTTTGTATTGCATTGCATGGAAAACATAATTTAAAAACGGAGGCTTTACAGATGAAAAATATGGCGACAAAACATGCATTTAATGGACGTAAAACAGCCGTCCAATGCATATGTTTATTCTATTACGTATCACACATTTCAATTACGAGGCTACATTTTGACTGCATCAAACAGAGTCATTATGACTCCGAATGAACTTTAGTATAATCATCTCACTCTTCATTTAAATTTTGTAGTTTTCCAATACAGAATCGTCCTGAACATGCATCAAATATTTGCCACTAGACTTTAAGCAAACATCAATCACACATCAATCAATCAAATATCAAATTGTTGCAATCATATTGAATGAAATAAAATCAAACATTGCTAAAGGATTCTGAAAAAACAACATGATGAAAATACTCGACGAACTATCACGAAAATGAAGGAAATAAAAATTGGACCGAAGAAAATTATTATACATAAACGTCACAAATATTAACAGCAATGAAACAGACGTACGGACAAAGTAAACAAGAACAGACTTATACGAAGAGTATAGATGGTTAAACAAAAAGGCACTTTTGTGGCCATATCTAAAAGAGTCATCGTTTTAACTTATTTTGCCAGAAAAATATATATACTTTTATTTAAACAAGAAGAACAATAATTATATTATACTTTTGTCATGTTACGATAATTCCTTTCGAACAATAATATGCGTTTCAAGATAAGTTTAAGTGGAAAGAATGCAGTATTATTTATTTTAGAACGTAAGTAGTGAAGTATGATTGATTGCTTCTTTGTTCTGCAGGTTTTTTTCAGATTCCCGTCGAGTTTGTTATCGTGCTCCTTTCATATTTACAATACATATATTACATAGAAAGTAATATCTCAATTTTAAGTTTCATTTTACACCGATGAAAAATGTTAATACTTGAAAAGTGTTTGCATAGTATGTTTATATTCATGGTATCAAAAAGACCAGATGGATTAATTATACTTTACGACAGTTAGTAAACAAAAAATATTGGGCTTTTTCCCTACCCTTTCTACTTGATCAGAGTAATAAACATGGATATCTTTTCAGGTCTAAAATTTTAATTCATATAAGGTTGAGTTTTACGAGTGTGAAACTTCACATATACGTAGATATTTCGTTATAAAAATTATAGTTTATTTATATATAGATGCTTCGGAAAGTTTTATCAGATTGTATTCGCAAAATTTTGCGCCTGGGTAGGATAAAATGCGGAGTCACACCATCGTAAATCAATCTGATGTATACCTCACATTTTCCTTTCGCCGTGTGAATTTCTTACAGTTCTCTTATAAGGGTCTGGCTTGGATTTACAGAATAGAGAATAATAGTCAAAAACATAAATAAAAAGAGCAAAATCGGCACAAAATACAGAATTATATAGAATAAGGGGAGGACTAAAATATAAAAAAAAAAAAATTATTGACAAAAAAATAAAAAAATAGAGAAAATGATCTAAAAAAGAATACATAAATGTTTATCTTTGTTTCAAGTCGAGAGTTGGTGTTTAGTGTGTTCTGTTGTACTGTCCTATATTTTGATAATTTCTGTAATCTAAGATTGAAATAAACAATTAATTTCCCCATAGGCGACAATGATAGCCTTTTTCGAGAAACAGACTTTAGAAAATTGATTTTTTTAACGAAACCTTGCTAGAATTAAAGAAAAGTTATTAGTATTTTTGGTCCAAAAAATATAGGTTCGCGTTGCTTTTCTTAGCGTAATTTGTACTTATCTCCCATGCCTATCATGGCAATTTTGCACTTAAAAATACGTGTCTCATCCTAGCGTTTAAAAGACATCTCAGTTCCGTTAGGGCTTAGGAAAATAATTTATTTGGCCTTTGGTATTATGCAGAATGCACGAAGTCTCTAATAACAAAATACAACGGGCGCACATATCAACCAATCAGGATTAGCTATACTCTTAATTCTGAATACCATGTTGCGCCCATAAAATGTAATGGTTGATTGTAACCTTAAGCTTTTTGATGTATTATTACATGGAGGAAAACATATATGCGAATGCGATAAGTTAATTAAGGATACTTTTATTTTCAGGGTTACAACGACAGACAAGAAGGACCGTATACCGACAGGGTACGTTATTTGATTCGGTTTTTTATTATCGATTCTGATTATTTGATAATTTAGGTCGGTGATCGTAACCAAATATACTATTGTAACGTTTTAGCAAAAACATCACAAAGGATAATATTAATCAAGCAGTCAAGATAACTTTGGAGGTAAAAAAGAGCATATTGTCTGTGCGCATGTTTTTTTGTAATTTTTGCGCACAAATTGTACACGCAATTTTATAAATTGTGCAAGCAACTTAAATCTTGTGAACCCCCCTTTAAAGATTTTAATAACAACTTTTTGATTTTAAAGCTCTTCGTACAAAATATTTATTTCTCGGAGCTCCGTAAGTAACATTCCCGGGAGACTTGTGGAACAGTTAGAATATTATAACACAAGTTGGTTCTCCATCACTAGTTTTACAAATACTAGTATACAAGTAATAGTCGCTACAGTGTACATGCGATAAAAACACAACATTCTGAAAATATATTAATTGTCCTGAATAAAATGGACAAATTAATTTCTTACAGGTGTTTCGTTTTACTGCTAAATTGATATGTGAACAAATTATGAATTTTTGCACGCACAAAAAAATTATATGTTCCATTTAACTGTATTTGTTATTTTAAGGACAAAAATATTCGCATCTGGATTTTATGGAAAATAAAGATATACAAATATAGATGTCTTTTCACTATCCGTATACTATAATAACTTAAAAATGGGGGTTTTTTTTGTGGTTTATAAAATGATATTTCATTCAATGAAAGAATGCATTATTGTTCATATAATGTTCATGAAGCATATTGCTGCTGAAAATGCTCTTATCCAAAACACGAATAAAACTGGAAAATGTAATGCAAAATACAGTTAATTCTTTATAAATTTCAAATGTTCATCATATGTAATTGACTTTAAACATATGTTTAAGTAATGTAAAACATATATAGTAATTATTTAAACGAATTTATCTTTAATTCGCGACTTTGAACCTCTGTTTATGCACACGTAAGGTTTTAAACGTAATTGCATAAGGATTTCAAATCTGCAAAATTAAATGATAGTATACACACTGTTAATGGCTGCAGAAGTCAAGCGATTACACACTTAAAACAGAATGTTAATTTCAGGGTGGCTACTATGACCGTCGATATCAAGATGATCACCATTATAATGACGGTTCATACACAGATCGACCGGTACAGTTCGTCTATTTTCAGTTTGCTTATATATATCTTGGGCTTCATAATTAAAAATTTGTATTTAGTTTATGTGCTTTTTGAAGGTTTAGTGCGCTTACTGTTTGATTATTTATATTTTTTTAGAACTAATTTCCTAATGCACGTAGAGCGAGACTTTGGTTAGCTTGCTTGCTTTGTTTGTATATTGTACAATTGTAATTGGGATAACTTCCAATCAAATTTAAATATAATATATATAGGTTTAACTATGCCTATATTGTTTGAATATGTCAATCTTAATTACAAAGCTTGGGTAAACGTTTATACATACAAAGCAAGCAAGCCAACCAAAGTTTTACTCTACAAGCATTAGGAAATTAGCTCTAAACATGATTGATTATTTTGTGTTTATATACCTGCTCATTGAATAATTTGATTGTTTTTAGTTTGATTCCTCGTTTTCGTTGTGGTATTTAGTTTTATAGTAAAAAAAAACGCTTGTTGTGGATCACGCTTTTTCGTAAAATGACTGAAAAACAGTATTATAACACAAATAAGTTTATGACTCTTATTATCAAATTTCATTAGCATAAATGTACGGCACAAATATATATTAAAATTGAAAATGAAGAAGTTTCAGGCAAGCTAAGACAAGAACTACATTCAATTATTACATTTACTTTGAATTCAAATTATCATGACATCTAAACAAAATAGTCTTGGCCTTTGCCAGATTTGGAACTACTTTTTTAATTTTTGGTTTCAAATCATCTTCAAATTTTATTATAGATTTTGCCTTCTGTCTGTTTTTATTCGAGTGCCACTGATAAGACTTGCGTCGTCTACCATACCAAATTACAATACTGGTACCTTTGATGAGTTTTTACCAAGGATCTATGGTATCTCATATTTCATACAATATGAAAGTATTCAGGTGGCATATGTTTTTACCAATATAAAAACATCAACTATATTAATCTAAAGTTTGTTTAATTTTTTTGGGGGTTTACTTTTCAGCGATATGATAGGCGTGAAGACATGAATGGACCATCAGATAGGGTAAGTGTGAATCATTCACTTACCCAGAATAGTTTTCTAGAATAACTTTTACTAGATACGGTCACTCAACTCCAATCTATGAAAATGTATGACATGTGCGTCCGATATATGTTTTCTAGAATAACTTTTACTAGACAAGGTCGCTTAACTCCCATCTTTGAAAATGTATGACATGTGCATCCGATACATGTTCTCTAGAATAATTTTTACTAGATACGGTCGCTCAAACAGATTTTAAAGCTACATAAGCAGCAAAATATAAAAAAGAAACATGAAAAACACAGTCATAATTGTCTAAGGTCAGCTTAGGTTACATAAAGGAGTTGCAACATTACGCATAGGAATTACAAACTGAAAATTTACATAAAGTAAAATGCGTCATTTAAATCGTTAAACAAAATATAAGAAATAACATTTGAAAAAAGAAACTAGCTTTCAAAAATGACACTGCAGACCAAAATCCTTTTATATTATATCAAAAGGTGTCTAAAATTTTGTTTACAATTGATAAACAGAATGTTCGTTTATTTGCTCGTTATCTAGAATAAACTCTTTTTTGCATTGATTATGTATTCGATACATAATATCATGACGACAGGGCACAATTTAAACCTTTTTCTTTACAAGAAAAGAAACAGTTGGATGTAAACGATTTTACTGATTATAAAATGTTGAGTTATTCGAAAAACATTACCTTAGCCGTATTTGGCACAAACTTTCGGAATTTTAGGTTTTAAATGCTATTCGACTTCGCATTTGATGCGGACTTTCAACTGCGTACCAAATTATAAACCTGGTATATTTTATGAGTTTTACATGAAGGAAAGTCTTTGTTCCCTACATAAAAACGCAATTATTCTCGTATTAACATCCTATATATTTTACGTTACAGGGGTACGATAGACGGCCAGATGATCGGGATCGGGGTGCGTACACAGACAGGGTAAGTTCGACATCGAATAATGCACCCAAACAAGGTCGGTCACTCGAATGAGGGAGATAATTATATAAATTCTCCTTTCGTGATATTTCATGAAATCAATATGTCCAATATGAATTAAAATTGTACGATTCTAGAAAACGTTCATTATTTTTTCTATTAAGGGTATTAAAATAGCTTTGTTTTGTATATTTTTCTTTTATTTGTCTTTTTTGATTTTTTCCTCAGTTATATGTGATGATGTGTGTGGTTGTTGTGATTTATATATTTCGTTTTGCTGCCTTATTATATGTATTATGATTTCTATGATAAAACCCAATGGGTAATTGTATAGAACAATATAGGGCAGCTATCGGGTTATTTAACTTATGTAGATGCACTTTTAGACTCGGCAGCTTTAACTCACGAACTAGTGATAGCTCTTTAAAAGAAATATTACTTACCAATTTCAGATGCTCGTTACTCGTCGTCTCTCTCTCACTTCTCCAGAGCTTAAATCCGAATATAGATATTGTTTTTCTGCTATTTGTTTTAAATGTCATCCTAATTATAGGAAATATTGAGACTAATCCAGGTCCGAATACAGATATTATAACTGACTCTACCAGTATAAATGAAACCTCACTATCCATATGTAACATAAACATACGTAGTCTACGAAATAAGCTTAATTTTCTCCAAAACTTTACTGACGAATTTGATATATTAACTATAACTGAAACTCATTTGGATCCAAGTGTTAACATTGACGATTTGCAGCTTTCCTCATTTTCAAAGAATATAATCCGAAAGGATCGTAACATTGCCGGCGGAGGCATTGTCATCTATGTAAAGGATGATATATCCGTCGTACGTAAAGGTGAACTCGAAAACCACATTGATGAGACAATATGGGTAGAGATTAAAGGTAAAGGTCAGTCATTTCTTCTTTGTTGTACTTATAGGCCTGAGTGGACGGACAATGACTATTGGACAAGACTTAATTATTCGCTGGGATTGAGTTACCAACTAAGCGAGAATATTGTGATAACAGGAGATTTGAACTCTGATTTATTTTCAATCCATAATAATAAATTATATGATACAATGAATCTTTTTAATTTAGAAAATGTAATAAACAAACCGACAAGGGTGACTGGACACAGTAGCACATTACTAGACCCGATAATAATCAGCGACACAATTAAATATTCTGTTGCCGACGTACTTAAATTACCGTCGGAAATAAGTGATCACGATGCTTCTTTAATATTTTTAGAATGTCCGAGATTTGCATCCAAATCATTCAAAAGAGAAATTTGGTTGTACGATAAAGCAGATTTAAAAAAAATTTCTTCCGGACTTGATTCTGTCAGTTGGGATGCACTTTTTTCTGATGTTGAGGATTTCGACGAGATGTGCAATACATTTACTCAAAAAATCCTTGACATCGCAAGGCAGAGCATCCCAACTCGACATGTTTATATACGAAACAATGACAGACCATGGTTTGACAACGAGTTAAGGAAAGAAATCCGCAGAAGAGATCGATTTCGTAAAAAAGCCTTAAAAACTAAAAAAGATTCTGACATTAATAAATACAAAAAGCAGAGGAATAAAGTAAATAATTTGAAAAAAGCTGCAAAAGAAAAATTTGAAAGAAGCTTGGATAATATCATCTTAAATAACGTGGCTAACCCCAAAACTTATTGGAAGATAATGAAAATGCTTATTAAATCCAATAAGGGTTCTGGTGATTTACCACCACTTAATAATATTATTCACGATGAAAGTATGGAAGATGTAGTGTACGGAGACGACGAGAAATGTAATCTGTTGAATAAATATTTTAGTCTAATTTCTTCCCTAGAGGAGGAAGGTGTTCCCATCCCTGAAGTTGAACCAAGAACCAATATTATTTTAAATGATTTAGTAATTGAAAAATATGAAATAGTTGATATAATTAAAATTTTAGATCCTAATAAGGCATCTGGTCCAGATGTCATAAGTCATAAAATGCTGAAAATGTGTCCTGAAAAAATAGCAATTCCTTTAAAAATAATATTTAATAAATCCCTACAACAATGTAAATATCCCACCAGCTGGAAGACTGCAAATGTAATTGCTTTGTTTAAAAAGGGAGATAGTTCGCTACCATCTAACTATAGGCCTATATCGCTTATAAGTTGTGTAGGGAAAATAATGGAGCGAGTTGTTTATAAACATGTCTTCAATCACCTACATAGAAATAAGTTAATATATGAATACCAGTCTGGTTTTCTTCCAAAATGTTCAACAGTTCACCAGCTTTTAGAAATTTACAACTGTATTTTAAATTCACTAGAAAATAAAGAAATTAGCTGTTTCGTTTTCTGTGACTATTCTAAAGCTTTTGATAAAGTTTGGCATGAAGGATTGCTATATAAAATGAAGTCATACGGTGTGGACGGGAAATTATTGAATTGGTTTAAAAGTTACCTGAACAACAGACAACAGCGAGTTGTTATTAAACAATCGTCGTCAGAGCTTTGCAGTATTTCAGCTGGTGTCCCACAGGGTTCTGTTTTGGGACCGCTCTTATTCATTATTTATATTAATGATATTGCTGAAAATTTGATATCTTTATGTAGATTATTTGCAGATGACACATCTCTCAGCTACTCTAGTCGTGACACGTCACAAATAAAATCAGTGATCAGTCACGACCTGAGTGAGCTGAGCGATTGGTCTAAGAAATGGCTGATGTCCTTTAACCCAGAAAAAACAGAAATTATGTTGTTTTCATACATTGAAACTCCGGAAATGAATTTCATATTCAATGGTAAGAATATTAAAGTTACAGATTTTCATAAACACTTGGGTGTTACATTTAGTAGAGATGCTAAATGGAACACTCATGTGGAAAGTATCATAAAAACTGTATCGAAACATTTGAATGTACTTAGAAAACTAAAGTACAGATTAAGTAGAAATAACTTAGAAAAGCTATACTTGACTTTTATAAGACCGTTATTCGAATACGCCTGTGAAGTTTGGGATAATATGGGTGTGGGTTATAGTATTAAATTAGAGCAGCTGCAGCTTGAGGCAGCCAGAATTGTAACAGGTCTTCCAGTTTTTACTAGTAGTAGAATTATTTATGATGAGATTGATTGGGAAACTCTAGCTGAACGAAGAGAAAGGAGGAAGTTACAATTATTTTATAATATTCAACATAATAATGCACCAGCCTATCTTTGCAATTTAATTCCACCAACAATCCAAAGTACAGCTGTTTACCCCTTACGTAATGGGAATGATATAATATACCCTTTTTGTAGACTTTCATTGACCCAAGAATCCTTCATACCTTCAACTATACGACTGTGGAATAACCTTAATGTGCTGACCCGCAACATTGACTCTTTAGGTAAATTCAAAACTGAATTAAAAAATCTTAAACTGAATTCAAAAGCCCAAGTACCCAAACATTATAAATTTGGCAATCGTAAACTCAACATCATTTTGACTCAACTTAGATGCTCAGCCTCGTTTTTGAATTATGATCTTAACAGAGTTAATATAATTTCAGATCCGTCTTGTAGCTGTGGTGCTAAGCGTGAAGATTCATTTCACTTCTTTTTTGAATGTCCTAATTATACGAATATAAGAATCAAACTATCTAATAATCTGAACTGGTTACCAGAGAACTCTCTATTAAATTTGAACATCTTAACCTCCGGTGATTCGTCATTAACTAATGATGAAAATGAAAGAATTTTAAAGAATGTATATGAGTTTATTAAAGAGTCAAAGAGGTTTCTAATTGTGTAATACAGCACACTAAAGTGCATATACATGTATATTGTGTACAACCATTCACATCATCACACATCATCTTTTACATATCCAATATATACAATGTATTATTTGCATGCATGCTTTGTAAAAAATTCTATTGTTATAAATTGTTCATGGGAGAAGACTTCATAAGTTTGATTAACTTGTGTCTCATCCCTTTTGCATATTTAAGCAAATAAAATATGTTTAAACTAATTAAAATAGCTTAAAAAATGCATATATTTTCAATGATATTAGAAATAAAGGCAACATTTTATTTGCACATTTTCATGCAATCATTAAACGTTCACTATTTTAGAATTCCAATCTTTACCCTTGATATGAACGATGATCTAATAGAATGTATGTATTATTAACTAACCGCGAATATAAAGGAAAAACACGATAAGAAGTTGAAATTATAATTTATAGGGAGGATACGAAAGACGAGATATGAATGGCCCAGACAGAGTGAGTACAACTTACTTTTTTAAGGATAAAGCCAAATTGGACGTTGAGTTGGATGATGTACATTAATTTTATTGACTTGAAAATATATAAAAAAACATCAGAGGCTTTCATGATAATATCAAATATACATTATGAGGGGAGTCGTATATCTGAAACGTTTGTGGTTTGATTTATCTATTGTTTTTAGTGCAAACTTTATAAAGAAGCGAGTATAACTATGTCATTTGTCTTTGTCTTATTCGGTACCTGATCCCCCTTTTTTTTAAATATTTATAATAACTAGCAGTTGAAACTTCTAGACATGTTGAAATTTTGTGCTTGTTTTACTGTATGTTAAGTCCAGTGGTTAAGTAGCGGTGCAAAATAACTGGTTTTCGGTTGTTTTAAATTTAAGCGAATCTATTAATGCACATTCGTTTTAGTCTCAATTTCACAAAAGTAATTGATTTTGGACATTGTAATAGGTAACTATTGCCTATGTAAGCTTTGAACCAGAATTTTAAATTCGTTTCCAAATTATGATTTCAAACTAATCTAACTTTTCAATTTCTAGAGATTTGAAAGACCACCAGAAAGAGATGTTTCACCAGACAGACGTGTAAGTATGTTTGCCCAAATCTTTACAGCTGTTACAGTTTGTAGAGTCGAAAATAGCACTATTGGTAAAAGGAACAATATTACAACCAGTAAAATGCAAGACTGCGAAATTTTCACCTGATAATTGTGTAATTCCCACAGAAGATCTATTGGTCAACAAGCGATTTTTGAAACCTTACTACAAATTGTTATACATTAGTTCGCCATTAATAGTACATTTTTGGCTTTGAGTTTTCGTGGTGACGGAAAATGTCGCTTCGAATTTCCAAGTTCTGTATGTTTGATTTGAAAATAATGATTACTCATTACACTGACAAGTCGTTGTGTACCTCTATATTGTAATTGCTTGTAATTTACAGTTAACCTTTCTTGTGAACGAAAACAATTAAGTTCTTTCGAAAGAAGACACTGGGCACACATTTCTGTACGTGTAAATGTCATTAGCAAATTTTAAATAGAAAGTAATTTTTAAAACAAAGTCCTGTAAAGTCTTCAACCTTAAACTTTCAAACTATCCAGAATGTTTCTGTATCCCATTATGCGAAATTTTGCAGATTTTAAAAATAAACAAATTTGATCAATTTACAGCTTTATTTTCGTTGGAGTAACCATTTTCGAATTTGTCTTTCAGCGGATATCTCCTGAGAGACTGAAGTTGACCACGCAAACTTGTAGAAATCTTTAAATATTTCCTTTCTTATTAGAAATTAAGATAGATGCACCGGGACGCTTTTCATATGCTGTCATTTATATAACCTTTCAAATAACAAACCATACGTATTGCGATCCGACAATTTGAGTCAGGATTTTCATCACATTACTGTACCATCCTTTTACCATAAACAATCAAGTTCATATGACTATAATTATGTTCGTTTAAAAAAAGGTGGCAATAAAAAAACATAAGTTCAAGAAAGACAGACAACACTATAAACAAAGAAAAATGGACGAACAGACAAACAACAGTCCAAAAACACCAATCAGCAAACAAAAGTGATTCCAAACTAATTTTTAGAGCATATGAAGGGAAGAAAACCATGTGTGCGATCATTATTTTATTATATTAAATTTTTAGTACCGTTGATAAGACAAACAAAACTCTTATCCATTCCTCAACAAAAAATATATCTCCTTAAAATTTATATTACTGAATAGATGTTACTTATTTTGATAATCTTTTTCAGAGATTCAATGATCCTCCTTCTTCATATAATGAAGTACAATTACAGGATAAGGTAAGTTGATTCCTTATACTGCATATCATGAAAGAGCAAAACACAATAGTACTACCATACAAACAAATAACGTGTGTAGACAAATCAAAATGTTATTAAAAACAGTGCGATATAAATGGGTTTGATATCAATAGCCAAATATTTGGTATAGAATATTGAGAATACTTTTATTAAAACCTTTTGCTTGAGTTAGTGCAAATATTAGTTTTTCTATTTCGGCTTAATATTTCACGAAGGATTTAGATTTCGTGCTCCAAAGTTATGAATGGCAGGGAATTAAAAGCGAGATTCGCCAAAACTAAAATTGATAATTGCGATTCCAATAGCCGATCAAAACCAAGAAAGTGTTTCACAGTTCATTAGTGTGATGGTATAAACTTTTTCAAACGTATTTGAAGGGTATCAGCAGATGTGCGCTTGTTCAATAGTCTGAAACGATTTCCAATAGCCACTTTAAAGAGATAATGCAGAAACTATTTCTAATTTTTATTTCTACATTATAATGTATTTAATAAACAAATCTATTTAAATGGCTTAGCTTACGTTATTTTCTATTATTATTATTTTCAGTATGGCAATAGAACAACACAGAAAGATTACGGAGATGTAAGTTTTTGATAAAGCTTAGACGAAATACAAATACATATTATTGTCTTTTCCAAAGGGATAAGAAAATATTGAACGATACCACAAAAACTATACAATAACAAAAAGTGAATACATATAGCTGTATTTTTATTGGAACAAAATGGAACCATTACGTGTAATTCTTTAAAATATTCGCAATTTCATGTTTTAAAATCAACCAAGCCTTCTAGCAATGTTTTTTTTATCATAAATCTTGAAAGTTCAAATACATTTTGATGTTCTACTAAATGTACAAAAAGAAAGATAACTCTGAAATAGATCAGAAAACATCAGTCGTTCTGACGTCATAGACAAACCAATGAAAGCATTCTATAATACTAATGCAAATAACTGTTTCCTCCACAGTTTTCACAGCGAACCAGAGGACAAATGGATAAGGTGAGTATTGTATGATTTAATTTCGATCCATGAAAAATATATGGAATCAGTTTTATTTACATTTCCTGCAATAATACGTGTGTATAGCGTCCTTTAAAAGATTATAAAGGAAAATATACTTTTTGTGTCATTTATTGATACCCCGTATACTTTCTTTTCTATTCATCCCCAATAAAATCCATTATAAGTTATCGAATTCGGAGAGGGGAAGGGGGGTCGGACACGCATAACATATTAGTCCGGGTTTTCTTGTAAGAAAAAATAAGAATGATTCTTTGCCGGTATAATTTGTGATATTACCTTAAAAACAATTACAATTACCTTTTACATTGACTTATGATATTCAATTGACAATATTATTATTCTTTTTATTCTAGTTACACTCTACTTATCCAATACCTTTTCGCAAATCTGTAATCGTTATTAACCTCATTATTTTTCGTTTTTAGTAGTTTTGTTCATTTTATCATTTTCATAAACTTTAAAGTAAATACTGAATTGTGACATACATAGCAACAGCTAAAGAAAAACCATAACAAAACCCAGTCATATATTTGAAGTTTTTTATGGCAACCGAAAGACATGTATCAACAAATTGGTGACGAATATCACTATATATTTGAATGTACTGTTTTCGATCAAAAACGTACAGAGTATTTATCCTCCTATTTTGTACAGCGATATAATACATTTAAATTCTCGGAACTTATGTCGAGTACACGGAAACCAGTCCTGAAGAAACTTTGTTTATTTATAAAAAATGTTAATACTTTTGTTTGTCCTCCTGGCTAGTGACTTCTGTAACCTCTCTCCTTGTTTTGTATATATTGTTAATAGTTATTGTTGTTATCTCTGTACTGATGTAATGCATTGGCTTTATGAGAATAAAGAGAGAGTAATTGTTTTGTGATATTTTGTTTTTGCAGCCAAAGCCTTATAGAGGAGAAATTGATAAAGAGGTAAACTATAATAATTTATTTATGAGCAGGATTTTTCTTTCTATCTTTGTCTATTTATTAATGTTCACTGTCAAAAAATCCTTTTGATAATGGCATCATGCATGTATTCCATAGACGTATCGTCTTAGAGAACCGTATTACCAATTAAGGTTTGCAAATTGCATGATGATGCACAGAACTGAAAAAACTAATTTAACTTACTGGAAGATGTCATTACTTACTGAACATCTACGAACAACTTCCTTGTGCTATTGCTTCATTGACGCTGTAGTTTAAACTTTCGGAGTTTTTTCTCACTTGATATACAGTTTCACATGTGATTTGTTTAAAATTTAACCCTTGTTATATTGTTTAGCTCTAGTGTGATTTAGGGTTATGAAAACACGTAACAGTGATCCAAAAATGATATCTAATATAACCAATATTGATTCACAATCCCGATTTTCAGATGGAATCTTTTCATAATAAGGTAAGATTACCTTTCATATTCATTTTCTAACATTATTTTGTAGACCTAAGTATTTATTGAAATTTGTAGTGAATCTTTCATGGTATTCTTTAACAAGTTGCCTTTTGCAAATCAAGTCCTTCTTGCTAAACGTTTTCCTTCTGCTGGTCTAGTGTAATCGTCAATTTCAGTTGTTGAGCGTACATGCATGTAACTTATTTCATAATTCATGTCACACACAATATTTTTTGTAAATTTTTCTGGTTGCAAAATCCTTAACCTTGACAATGCTTTTAAAAGAAAATAGCAAGTTATATCTTAACATTGTTTTTATGTTGTTTATTCAATGTTTTAAAATTAATAATTATATCTAAAGAATAAATGTTTCATTGTTTATATTATGGGGTTTTTTTTGGTGCAGTATATACTGTATACCAATTTTGTTTGCAAAAAGGTTATTCCTTACCAAAACGTAAACATTAACAGAAATTATGAAAGTTAAGAAAATTTGAATTTTAAGTGGACCTAATTATTTCATAACGGTAAGTATTTCTTCCATTATTCTTGATTATTTCATCCAGTTATTCTCTGTTCAGATCAGAAGCTCGGTAAAGAAGGGAAGCGATTAAACATAACTTTGATACGAATATATCATTTAAAGTGACAACTGGACATTTTTTTTAATTCAGTTGTATCCCTTTATAAAGAAATAAAATAATAGTTATATTCCTGTGAAGTCTTAGTTAGATAGTATTGTAAGAACTTTTTTCTAACATAAAATAAAGTTTCACAAAATATGTTTTTCACCGACAAAGAATTTTGTATTTTTTTCTTCAATATTCGCCCAGATGATATATGTTTGCCTGAATGTTGCAAGTCTTGCATACGCTACCTTATGAATTGTTCGGTGTCCTAATGTCTGTTTTTTTACTTCTGTATGGATTTTATCATTATATCTATAGCTTTTCATGTCAGCTTATTTAATATTTTACCTCTGCTAGAATAATGTTTATGATAATACAAGTCTAATTCCAAAATAATAAAAGTGGATAAAGATTATACTTTTATTTCTTCTGGGCTATTTGAACTTGTTTAATGCATCATTACTTGTTGCGTATTGTGCTATAAATGTTGATGTTGATGAATTGTAGTCAATATACATTTTGTACTTGGATTTAGAATGGATGATTGATTTCTAAACTGGCTAGGTACGAAGAAATTGCCCGTTTGAGTCGCTTGACTTTTTCACGAGAGATGTAACATTGATGTTCAGGACTCAATTACCCTCTCGGTATATTTTCCTTTTTGACTTTAATTGATGTTAGAAGTCATTGACGGACCAATTGATATATTTCCCGTGACCAATATTTAAATTTCTAACGGATTTTTTTTATTGTAAACGCTCCAATTTACATTCTCATTTGAATGCTAGATACATGTCAATTTTATCAAACATTCAAATCAGATGTTTTCAGATGTTACGACAAATTTGGTATTATTGCCCCGTTTTTATGCCTCTGTAGAGTTAATTTCACATTTCATGCGCCAGTAATGAATATGAAAAGATTCTTTCAGTTATACGTATGACATAAATAGCAACCTTCTGTACCATGGTACAAGATTATCAATTTTATTTTGATGTCTGAAAGTTTATTAAGTTTTGCACTGTTGTTGAACAATGTAAGACGCAAGATGCAGAAATTAAAGAAAGTGAAATGACGTTCGTTTAAAGTCCTGTTTACAATCATTTCATAACACCTAGCATTACAAAATGTTTTACATATGAAGGGAAGCGATTACTTTTCCTTTTATACAATGATATAGAAGTATTATGGAGCGACGAATATTCTTAAAGTTCAAACAAGTTGTATATGAATGTAATTCATTTATACTTTGAAAGCCTCAAAAGGTAAAAATATCTCACAATAAATGTATTCAAATACATTCAAACACATATAGATAAATTGTTGACTGTTGACGTTAATTAAATTTACCTGAGCGAGATGTACATATCCCTTGACAACAAACGTTGAAATACTCTATCAATGATTTCTGTCTTCATCAGAAATACAATATTATAAGTGGATCTTATAAAACTGCACCAAATTAGATTCAATACAAAATGGCGGAAAGGTACAGAACATACGATTCTCGCCTTCGCTTCTTAGAGAATAATCTTGTTAACCATGATGGCAAACTGGACAAATACAAGTCTAGAAATGATACACATTCTGCTAAACTTAAAATGATGGAGAGAGAGTTACAGGAAGTTAAGGCTGAAAATGATGTGTTATACGGTGAAGTTGTTGCTTTAAAATCAGATGGAATAAAAAGTAGAATGGAAAGTGAATTTCAGCGTGATTTAAGATCACCACACAGACCTATGTATGAACAATATAATACGAAAAATGATGTTGTCAATTCACAGATACAGCATACTAATGATGCTAGCAGATTAGAACAAAGACCATTAGATGATTTCGATTATGAATATGACTTCAACGATGTAGATATTCCAGAATCTTCTAGGTTAAAGGGATACTACCGTTTTAAACAAATTCCATACCACAATAGAATGCTTTTAAATGACAACTATGATAAAATAAGCCCACCAGGCGCTGCTCAACATAAAAAAGATTATAACAGAATCGAAATGCATGAAGGCAATTTCAAACCATACGCTTCACATGCTTACTACACACATCTGACGAATCGCAATCCGGTAAGCTGAGATATTGTTTGAATTCTTAACATCTCATTGCTTACTGTGTTAGATAATTTTTAGATTAACGTGCTTTTTCTTCCAACTGTTTAGTCTTTTAGTTTAACAATTTACTAGATAATTTACTAAAACAGAGCTTTTTGTGTAGATTTTTCAGTTTTTACTATCACGTACATGTTATTTTGAAGCGTAAACAAGGTTTAGAACCTGATTCACTTGCTTTCATTGAAATAATTTAATCCTTCGGTGAGACAGCCTGGATGACAAAACATGTAAGCGATGTTGGAGTATCTTTATTGTGTTCGACTTCGTCCGTCGATCTGTTGCTAGCGTCACATACGGATCATTTCTGTCCCCATTGTCCGCGTGACACTTTATGTTAGTTCCCAACGCCTTCGTGACAGAATTCCACCAAATTTACACAGAATTACTGTTTGGGGTTTTCAAATACAAAAACTTTGAAAGAGACATATCCTTTTTTTGACAGATATAGCTGTGCTTACACCAGTTTGTTACTTGAAAATAGATTGACAGAATCCGACCAAACTTGCACAAATTCTTATAACAAACATGAAGTAGTGCACCTGCTATTATAGCTTTTGATCTGAGTTGTTTTTTGGCATTTTTTTCATACTAAAACATTCAATTTCCTTTTTCTGATTATTGTATTTGGAGACAGTGGACGACAAACGTCTTTCTCGGAAGACTCATTTTTTTTTAAAACTTAATAATTTGGAATTTTGGCTGTATTATTAGAAACCATAACATTGCGGATATTACATTCTTTTTTTTTTACTGTGATGTTGTTTATAGAGACCGAAATTAAGAAAAGATCCTTGTAAACTCATGAATCCTTTGAAGAAACTTAAATGTTATCAATTTTACACTTTAGTAAGATCTTGATTATTGTCTTTTTCCGTACTAACATTGATTTTTCTTTTTAACATATTAAAACATAACCAAATATCTATAGCTATACAGTTATGAATACTGGTCCTTCGTCCTGTCGAACTTATATTCTGTCATTGTATTGGCTCCTGCTTTTCTCAGACAGTTGATGACTTCTTTACACTAAATATGTTAGATGTGTACTGACTATATTTTAGCCTTGGAAAACATTATTTATTTATGTATTGTATTTGGCTTTGAACTAACTGTTTGTAACTGTAAGTACTTTTTGTTTTGTTCTTTGTGTCTTGTTTTTGTTATTTGTTTTTTGTTTGTACTTCGTGCCGATCCGATGAGTTAAGCCTTAACAAAAGTAAAATAACAAAAATACCGAACTCCGAGGAAAATTTTAAACGGAAAGTCCCTAAGCAAATGACAAAATCAAAAGCTCAAACACATCAAACGACTGTCATAATCCTGACTTGGTATAGACATTTTCTTGTGTAGAAAATGGTGGATTAAACCTGGTCAACTGATTTCTACTGTTGGTTTCCTATGTTGTGCTGTATTACCACTTTTCCAGGTTATGGTAAGATAGCCAAACACATGTTTACCCTGCAGTATTCTTGTTGTGCCTGTCCCAAGTCAGGAGCCTGTAATTCTATGTTGTCGTTGGTTGCTGGGGCAATATTTGTTTTACATTTATTGTTTTATCATTAACCAGGCTGTTGGTATTCTCGTTTGAATTGGTTGTTATTCTGGACCTCTAAAGCTTACTATATGGTACTTATTTTGCGCATTGTTAAATGTGTAGGTGGCTTATCGTTGCTTACATCCTCGCCATTTTGGTCTTTTGTGGATAGTTTACTTATTGGAAATCATACCACACCTCCTTATTTTAATATGGAACGGTAACCATTTAAAAATACTTGTTCTTCGTGATATTCTTTTTACTTTAATCTTGTATTTTAGGAGTTTTGATCAGCTGTCACCTTATTAGATTCAAATTTTGTCTTGGGTTATAGATTTGAGGCTGATAAAGTGTTTGTATATAACTCATTGTGCACATGATAGTATTCAACGATCCTTTCATTTCCCTTCTATGTTCCGTAATGGAATATGGTAAAACAAGACTTTCTTGTGGCTGTCTTTAAACGTTGGTCCTGTTTCATTCTTCTTTCTTATGTTTTTTTTGTTCCTTTGAACTTCTTGTATTAAATGTGAATTTGTGTGTACAAACAAAAGTTTTATTTGCAATGACTTGCTTTAACAATTAAGTTTGCATTTAATTTGACTAAAAATATTTAGATGAGTATTTCACTAGTTGTATTGATATACATCCATGCTTTTTTATCTATGATAATTTATTGAATTGAAATTTGTGTGATATTGACCTTTTTAAAAGCTAGACAAGTGTATTAAATGAAAGACGTTACCTGCATGTATGCTGTAACAGCAGAGAATGAATTGCAGTGGTGTTTAACTTTGATGTGTAAAGTAACGCTAAATGTATCTACATAAGCTTGAATGTAATTTTAACATGTAACCCAGTTTTATACCTTGAACACGTATACTGGTTTTTACACAGAACTTATGCGTTTTAGAGTTATGTTATTACAAAAATTGTTTTATTGAAATGATTGCCAATTTATTTAATACATAAATATCAAGTATCACCTCATAACTTCTGTGAGCCCCACAATCCACTGGAAAGATGATTTTTATGAACAGTTTGCCACTGACAACAAACAATGCAAAAACTACAATGTATCATAGATGCATATTATGTAAGTCAAATTATAAATATTTATGCATTTCATGGCAACAAAAAAATTTCAATGACATTCAATTAGATATTCCTATCCTCAACAAGTGTATATTATGGAAACAAACGGGTTCATCACAAATGTAAATGACGTGACCGCACAAACCCAATGTATTGATTCAAATTTTTGAGGGCTTGTGTATCTCTGAAACGCATATATTTGCTTAACCGCAGAGTAATTACAATTTGCTTACATAACATAACGATCAATTTCTGATGTAAGTGGGCGACACAGTAGTTAATGATACCTGTATATACTGACATCGCCTTTATATTTAATATAAATGTAGTAAGAAGTTGCTCGTTCTTGTATGCCCACAAGCAATATTGTACCATCTTATATACTTCAGCATTTCCCTTTTCAGTATTTTTTTCCATATATCTTGATTGATTTTTGCTCTTTAATATATAATATTTATAATCAATTCACTTAAACCCAACTTTCAACTCTCCTTTTGTCTAGTGTCACTTTTTGATTTTGCAATCTCGTAGCCAGTGCTATTTGATAAAAAAGTGTTTGAGCTAGAAATTCCTTAATACAAGGAAAAGTAATACTGCTTTTAGACGCCTCGTGATATTCAACAGCCGGATACACCGGATGTACCACGTGATAGAAATGGACATTATATTGATGACATATATCTCCGTCCTGAGGAGAAACAGGTCAGAGGTCATATAGCTAGCATGTGAGCTTGTAACTGCAAGTTGCTGTGTTTAGTTGTAGCTAGAGTTTGGTTAGATAAAAGTAAAATGTAAAAAAAATCTTTTTTGACGTTTGAATTATTTTAAGCAATAGTGTGTCCTTGCTTTCAATGGCATATAATGTATGAACTTAATTTCACCACCTCAAAGGCACCATTCATAGCGTATGCACAGTGCTTGAGTTGGCTGCGGGCATTAAGAAATGTGTGCACTACAATATTTACTGCAACAATAATGTATATAACACCTTTTATATTAATTAAACTATAAATGTTTGAATTTGTTTTTGCAACAACTAACGAAGAGCTTCAGTTTGAGACGGTGTATTGTTTAGATGAATTTGGTACAGACAAACGTATTACATTATCTTTTAATCAAATACTTTCTAATGCAGATGTAATGCGATATAATTATTTTATCAATTTTTGTTACATAAAGGTTTACATGACGAAGAAATGAAAACTATTCATTAATCATGTTATATATCTTCTGTACAGTATTGTTAAACATTTCGGTATTGCATTTATTGCATTTATTCAAATATATATTCCTGGTATTTTGTCTTTTTTGAGTAAATTCCATAAACTTAATCGATAGGCGTTTCCTTCTTTTATCTCAAATTCGAGCAACAGCAACAGTAGTTTGCGGATGTTCAAATCACATAAGTGCATTAAGAAGATACAAATCAAAGCACGGAGACGTCTTATAATAAACCGACTCTTAACGAATAAATGTATACTATAAAAGATTCCATGCCTAGATAAAACAGGTTGTCCACTCATATAAAATGATAAAAAAAGGATTTAAAAGCCATTTGGCGGTTTTATTGGCCATCTATGGCATGATTGAATATGTGTATCTATTTTCTGCTTTCGAAACGATTACAATAACACATGTTTGTTGTGTTTGTGTTTTGAATGTTGTCTTCACTTATACTTTGTGTATACATCTTGCATGTAGATAAAAGATTGATATGATTAATAAATCTAGAGATTAAAGAATGCCTTTTTGATGTATAATATGAAATGGTATTTACACATCAGCCGATCTTTCTTTTTCTTTTGCTTTTTTTTTTACTTTTGCCAAAATTTAAGACTTTTACTTGTTAAGACCCTTTGTGATTATAAAAGTTCCCCTTTATATATAAATTTTGACTCTAGCGGCTTTTCTGACCATTCCAGATGAAGGTTAACAAAAAAGGGCCTCCAATGCAGCAAATTTGATAAATTGTATTTTAACTTATTGAATATTTTTCTGTGGTCAATATAGATAGGTTCAGCTTTACTGCAATGTGCACAGAAGCTTTAATATACTGAATATATTAAATATACGCACCCGCAGGCAAGGCACCAGAATAGTTTTAAATAAATGCATCATAAGTGATAGAAAGTTGACAGTTTGCTTTGGAACTCAGGATCATGATTTTTTTTCATCCGCCTTTGTACTTTAGACATATCCATATGAGTCTACATCTAACGCTCAGTTTAACTCCAAACTCATTTTCTATCGCTTGAGTTTTAAATGTGAAATAGTAAACAAGAAAATGATGTATTAACATTTTAACAACAAATAAGTTCCCTGTTATAGTTTAATGGCACGTGCAAAACAAAATAACGCTTATATAGACTAATTCTGAACAGATATCACTAGTCATAGATAATTTTCAGTAAAATTTAAGCGTCAACAAAAAAAAACGTTTGCTTAATAGAATGATTTCACACGGTATATTTCATATCTATATCAATTTAGAATTACAACTTTGGTGTTGATATAACAATTTTCTCTTCTTTGGTACTATCGAAATTATTTTATTCTGTCAATTTAATAAGTATTTAGCGTATAAAAGATCATGAAAAACTTTTTTTTTAAATAATAAGAATTAACAACAAATAAACAAAAACATATGTTTTGTTTATCTTGAAATATGATGCTTTCTAGTGAACCAACATATTTATTATCTTTTTATTTGTTACAGGTCCGACACAGGAATATGGAATTTGAATATGACACTCAACAACGCCTGCCACTTAACATTGCTCCACAGGTATGTTATCAATATTTTATTGTATTGGTTAGTGGTTGCACCTGCTTTACATGACAAACAATACCGTGAATTAAATAAAAAGTTAATATATATAGATTTTCATTCAGTTAAGAAAACTTGGTAGCACCACACTGTTTATTGGTATCATCAGTAATGAATTTACAACTCAAACTTTTAACATTGGCACTGTCTTCCATTGAATCCTTTCTATCAATCATGCGGCTCATAGAAAAGTGTTAACGATACAAGCAATGATTTCCTGTTTGTATCTGAGACGAAAATTGTTTTTATTTCTTTAATAAAAATTTGCTTGCGGTTATCCTTCACGAGGATGGATGTAGAGACAAAAAAAGTTGAAAAATCCTTCATTTTGTTAAAAATGGATAATTTCAGATGTTCATTCTATGATACAAAGCTGTTGCTTGATGTTAAATGATCTTGGACTGTAACATGGTTATAAAACTTGCTTAGAATCATTCAGGTCAATTGAACAGATCTTTCATCTACCAACATTTGCACCTTTCATTTGTTGTTTTGTATGATGAAGGATTATAATGTTTTAAAAGTATTTTTTCTGATTATTTCATAGACTGACTACAAGTCGAATATCCAGCGTGTAAGTAAAACTTTCCCTTATAATATTTTGAATAGAAAACGTTTTGTATGCATAACAAAATATTTAACGTTTACAGATAACTTTCTGGTATATATGATTATAAAATTTAATATTACTTTGTATTAATGTAGATTACAATATTTTCAAATTAGCGAAATAAATGAAAACTTAAAAAAGGTGCTCACAAGATTCATAATAGATTCAATCTAGGACATGTCGCTTTCTGAATTTGTGCAAAAAAACACTCAAGATCAAAGCCATTGACGGAGAAATCCAAATGATAATTTAAACATCTAACTCGTCCCTTGCCATTAGTCTTGTCATTTTGGCATCATATAAAAAAAGACAAAAAAGATTTTTTTTTTAAATATTGGACTACCAGTGGCATGAACATCACAAACGATTTTTTATTGTACGGAACAGGAACTGATAACTATTCCGGTATTTGAGTTTCTCCTTTTTTATATGTAGGTTTCATATAACTCAATCATTTGTTTTCACATATGTGGACTTGAATGAGCATTTCTTCGAATGTATGTATGTCTGTTCTTTTGTTCAGCCTGCTCGTTCTGAAAGTGGAGCTTACCTATTCATCAGAACTCAGAAGGATGCTATGTTTGATATTAAGAGATCCTTCCAAAGACACAAGAGTATTTTAAAGATGTCTGGTCACTTAAAAGGCATAGCAACTCCAGATAAGGTAATTTTAATCATAAACATCTACTAGATGTATGGTAACCAATCTTTATAAGATCGATCATCTCAAAATTTTCTGAAACTCCGAAGAGCATACTCATGTTAGATAATGTAAATATTTTAAATATTAAATGATATGGCGAGTAAAAACATTTCAAAGAGTATTTGGTCATTCGAAAAAGCATGACCCAAACCAAATATAGATAAAATTTAGTGTCGTGTAGAAATGTGGTTAGTGGAAATAAACAACACTATTTAACATAGAATAGCAAACCATTACGGAATGTTAGGTTATTAAAGGCTTAAACTATGAATAGGAATTAATATGCATGGCATTTAAGGCTTCATTTAAATCATTCTGTCATCCAAGCGACACATCCTAACGAGATAACATTTCTTCGTAATACCGTAACACTTCAGTTGCGCAGCCACATTGGATAAGATAAATTATCAATGAAAATTCTGGTCGCTGAAGTACTTATTAATGTATATGTAGATTAACTACGTCGAAGAATTAATAAGATAGCTATACATTTTAGAAAGTTTATCACAACATGAAAATAATAAAAACGTAATAAATATTATGAAATTTATTTTAATATAGTTAAAATAAAAATTATTATGAAATACTTTGCAGATTAGTGTAATGGGAGATTTCACAAACTGGCATATAAAGTCTCCGATGATAAGGAAAGGGGACTACTGGTATGAGCAAACTGGGAGTAGAAACGAGGAATATGCAACGGACTATGTCATATTGTGTCTATGGTTTCCTTCTGTGGATCAGGCTAAAACATGGGTTCATTATGATGTTGATTTCAAGATTTCCTCCTTCCCAGAACCATACGGAGTGGAACTTCTTATTTTACCTATAAATTATATTCCTATGAACGGTAAGGCATGTGTATGTGTGTGTAGTAGGTTCCTGGTAGACAAATCTATTTTACTATCGGTTGAAAAAAGTGTCACATGAAACTAGTGTGCAATACATATGTTTGATATATATCTTTATGCCAGTGTGCCAATTATAGGCTTATCAAAATATAGCAGTGCAATATGGTATGAAGTGTTTGAAAACAAAGTGTAGAACTGTCTCTCAAAAAAATAATTGCATTGATTCAAAAAAAAACATTTCTGATTACAGAACGAGGGATTACAAACCCTCAAAGTTGGCCATGGTTTCCTATTTTGGTATGTGTTGTCTATAATATACAGTTCAATATGATGTTTAAATTGTCACTTTTAAAGAACGGTTACAAATAATTTAAGATGTATTGAGCTAAGTTTGGTTGCATGTTAAAGCAGAGAACAATAATTTGATAGTTTTTTGTTAAACAGCATGAGAGGATTTTGTGAACCTTTAACAGAATTTTACTCATATCATATGATGAACATTTACACATCCTATTTCGTTTCGTTGCCTGAATGCATTTTGGGGTTAACATGGATTTTGTCATATTCCCACAATACAGTATACACTTCAATCAGCTTCTCCCCCTAATCCCTACTCAGAATGTAATGAATGCACCAGAATCTACACAATAGAAAGCCATTGTGTACCTCTTATTTTTGTCTATGGTCCGAATCATATTTTTGTTTCTCGAAGTAAAACTATAGATATTATTTTATGAGATTATTATTGTTTTGCTTGTACTTTAGTTAAATTCCAAAAAATATACAGACACGAACATGATTTGATTTTCACTATGTTATGTACTGCTTCTTGAAAAAATTCCGCCATCTCTTACTCAGTTTATGAACAATAACATCAGGATGGTGTCTTATATCATGTCTAACAACATACGTTAATTGTAAAATGTTACCACTCCATTTCAATGCCTTTTTTAATTGCATGTTGACCCAAACATAAAAGTACAACATAAGAGCAGAACTAAATTAGTATGGTATCGATGAAAAATCCGTAAGAGAAACACTACAAACATTAAATTCGCGAACAATTTTTTGCATGAATTCGTGAAAAAGTAGTAAAAAATTCTCCATTCTTGTTTTTAAGATGACATTTCTTTTTCTTACTAGTGGTAGATGTTTATGTTTAAACCAAAGGTTAAACGTAATTTAACTTAGAAACAAGTCATATTTAAAGGTAAGGGTTAATTTATTGACCATTGACCTTCCAATCTGATGATATATAACAAAATTGAGAAAACAACCACTTGAACAACATCTCCAAAAATTTGAAATAACAACATGAAATGGCATATATTGAGCATGTAGGAATGTTGTACTTTTTTAGAATAAAGATGTCAGAGTTGGTATATTAGTTTAACTAGATTTATTGGTTTAAAATAAGGAAGTTTAACTTCTAATTATTACAATGGTCACACTTTTGTAGATATTGAATGCAGTACCTATGTAGTGACAGAATATCCAGACGTCATGAATAAACAAGCTTTGAATAAATATGTAAAAGAACCAATGGAAGACCTTCTTACCAAGGATAGTAAATACCAGAGAGGTGAACCGTTTGTTGTTTGGACTGACAGGATAGTTAATGAGAGAGGAATGTGGACAACGTCACGAACAATGGTCGCTGTTCATAGATTCACTTCATTGAATCAAGCCAGGGAATTCTACAACGATCGTAAGTCTTTGTAAAATACAGATTAGCGATAATATTGAGAAAGCAAATATTTGTAAACAAGGCAACAGTAGGTAACCGAGGTTCAAATCTGATAAACTGATGAAGAAGACAAAGCATGGTAACAAACAAAAACAAAGGCAATCGCATGAACTCCAAAAGGAGCGAGAAATAAAACAGTGTGCTTATAAATCCAAAAACATTTTTTTTAATGTGTATATCATATTATATAAACTACTTGGTAAGAGAATAAGGTACCAGTGGTTTACATGAAACCCCAACATATACGCAAACGACAATTATTAAAAGAAGAAATTTTGGACAATCGTATTTTTGTTTTATGTTCATTTTAAATTTCAACAAAAACCAAGAACTGTATCTTGCATCACTCTACTGAATACTCATCAAAAGTGGCCTTACAGACAAAGTAATATTGCTGAGCCTAAAAATTGCTCAATTGAACATCTTTCCAAACTAATTACATACATTCTATCATCAGTAAAAAAGTTACTGAAACTTTTTCTAAAGTTGCGAGTTACTAGTATTCAGATGAAGATAGTAAACAATTCTAAAGTTCTATCAATCAGAGTATAAACAATCAAATTATCTTTGCTGGTTCAATAGTATGAAAGCATTTAACTAATTTACCCTTCACACAAGTTTTCCTTGTTCTAAACTTACAGGGTAAGCAATAATCCGAGTTTGTTTCATTTACACAAACATAAAAATAACGAGAAATGTCTTATTTTAAGGAGGGGCAAATCATACTTTTTATTTAAACACTTATATTCTAAAAAGTTTTCTCTGACACTTGATTGTTTGTGTCGCTGAAGCAAACCTTAGGTTTTAATTGAAAGCAAACTAATGACCAATGCAACAAGAACAACACAAATCATTAACTCATAGCTACATTCTATATACAATGTATATAAATTTATCATTAAGGATTAATGTACGAAAGAAATATTTTATTTCCATTTTCAGCTCGAATAGAAAGAATGAGAAGGGAGCTGAAAGACATTACAAAAGGTGGAAGACACACAACTGTAATGTTCCAACTCGTTGACTTTGTCTAAACTCAGATGGAATATCAGAACTCATTCAAATTCAATCAAAGTATTGGCTGTGATGAACTAGAGATTCTGTGATTAAACTGACATTCTGTTAATATGTCATCTTATTTATTACTTTTTTATCCAAATACATCAAGTTTCAACCGCTTAACAAGTAGCATGTTAACATTTAGTTAAAATATGTTTATAAGTACAGCTGCACCATTGAAATTGATTTACAAAAGTTACAGATTTATAAAAGTATGGGGCAGATTTAGTGTAGATATGATATCCTTCAATTAGAAGAATCAAAATATTTGAGTACTTGGATGATATTGTTATTCTTCACTGCTAATAGTTCACCTACGTTGCACACAATTTTTAATATTAAGGCACTATCTAAAAGTTGATAGATTTTTTTCTTGAAGTATTACATATCTAATGTCTTATTTGCCGTTTCAGAAAAACAAGCATTTTGGGTAGTATTTTCATAGGCGTACACCAAAACGTCGTGTTTGGTTAGACACGTCATCAATAATGAAAATTCAACGATGACGTGGTGTTGGTTTAATTTTGTGGTACGAAGAATGAATTATTCATAGTCCTTTAGATTCTGAAACGGCGAATTATCTTATCACTTGTTCAATCACTCAAGCATATGTGTTATGCAATATTGGATATTACTATTTAAGTCTTATTTATCAGATATGATCAAACACTTAGCTGACTAAAATGTTTGGACTTACAATATTAGTTTATTTTTTAACTACATTATATAATTTGGTCACGATTTCTGATATAGTTACAAAGTCACAAGTGAGTTATCTTTCTTAGACCACTACTCTTAATCTTATTATTCACCGCTGATTAGTTTACTTGTTGCACTACAAAACACTTCGTCATTTTCTTTGTTACATCATAGTATGTATAAGTATCATTGTTTTATATACCTGGGTTATAATTGTTCAGAAAAAGTTGTCAGTTTATGTTTTATTTATATAATAAAGAAGATATTTTCATTTATTTGTTTTTTTTAATGTAAGAAATGTATAATGCAATTGTGTCAGATATTCTAATCGAGTAAATAGTTGAAAGTAGCATTAACGTAACGAATTATAAAGCATAAGATGCGCATTTCGACAATAATTTCTCTTCATGGAGGTTGAGGCCAAATATTAGAAAATCCAAAACCTAATAAAAACGTTGGAGAGGTAATAAACCTTAAATGGAATATGGACATGCAAAAAGAATAGCCAAACCAGGGCAAAGAATCAGAGGTATGCACAAGAGAAATACATTCTTTAATTAATATAATTTTATAAATTTTATAACATCAAGTTTGACTTGTGGCTCTTCCTTAAGACTTGCAATAAAAAAAACCTACACAAGAACTAAATAAATAGTAAAGATTGTTTTGTCGATAAGAACTGTATGTACTGTATAACACTTTGGGTAGGAAGGTCCAGTCGATCATTTTCTTTATTAGGTTATTCTACACATATTTATTAATAATATAGTTTACATATTCTTCAATTGAAAGTGATTTGTCATGTTAATATTCTTTATGGTTGTATTTTTACAAAACAAAAACAGGAATTTACAAATGGGGAGGGTTTTAAATCTTAAATGGAATACTGACATCCAACGTCATAGCGAAAACACGTCACAAAACATCAATCAGAAAACTAAAAAATAAGCAACACGGCCCCTTCTAAACCAAGAAGTTAATTTAAGTCTTCTTGAAAGGTATGCTTTTCCCGTTCCACTAGTGTCATACATCGTTCGGTGATGAGTAGTATTTGTTTAACACTCTTTAATGAAGAAAGTGGAGGACGGAATTGAGGAACACACATGCTTGTTTTTATGTTCTGTAACAGTAAACCAAGTCGAGATGACATTCGTAAAAAAAATCGACGAAATAATTTCAAATGATATTTCAAAGATGCCATGCATGATAAGTTAACTGCGGAAAGCCAAGTCATATGCACTTAATTTTCAGTGGTTTATGCGACTGTTTTCTCCTTAAACTCCTTAAGCCATTTTCCTTGGTTTTACATAAAAAAAAACATATTATATAGACACCTGTCTATTGTTGAAAACCATATAGATATATTTCCGCATTTCCATTAAAAAAATGTTATCTTGAATTCGAAAAAAAGGAATAATTTAAATAGAGAATCTTGCATCAATTTTCAGTGTTCTTGACAGTCTTAAGAATAATACATTTTTTCGAATATCGATCAATTTCCAGTAGCTTTTTTTCTAGCACACTGCTCTATTACTTCTTGTAATGGAAACTTTCAATATAAACATATTTTTTCTCTGTGTTAATATGATGATTTCATTTAATGTGTGTTCAGGTTTAAAAAAATATCTATATTTCCCTTTGATATTTCCTACAAACACGGCTCATCTATCTTAGTGCAATCGACATTTTTGATTTTTTTCTAATAGAACTATTGTCCGGTTACTCTCCCACAATGTTTAAATATTGTTTGTGTGTGTGCTTAAATGCTTTTAACAGCTTTGTATATACTTAAATACTTCTTGTAGGAACATACACCGAATTTATTGTTTAAACTTATATTTGCAAATATAAGTTTAAAATTTTGAAGTTTAGAGAGCCATCAGTGAGCATACGTATCAATTATCAAATTATATCCCCATATCCCCATGCGTTAAATTAACAACAATTTAATGGAAACTTCTTTGTGATTATTTCTATATAAGGTTGAACGACTATGCATTATATATATATATATATCCGTTGAAACGACTTGATATAAGTGAAATTCCTCATTGGACGAAAAAAAAATAGTCAAATGGGTTATCCCGTCAACATTTTAATACCCGTTCCATGATTTGATTGGTTGATAAAATGATCATTCTTACAGTATCAATACTTAGGGAACAAAAGTTTTTTGTTTGTTTGTCAAATTAAAACACAAGCAAACTAAACTTCATGTTTCTGTTATCAACCTTAATTGATAAGCTTTAATCAGATCAGATCGCGTTATAAGTATAATGCATATACATGTACAACTAGTACGACATTGGTGGGAGGAACTAAATAAACTCATCGTAGATACCAGACTTAAAAGATTATCATGATATTATAATGTATCAGTTGAATTGTCAAGTCAGTTTGTTTGTGTAAAACAAAAACAATGGATATAATATGGTAATTTGGTAAAAAAAATGCAGGTCTTTAGATCATTTGGAGGTTTTCTTTGATTTTGCCTGCTTGTCTATGTTGTGCTTTTTCGGGCTAGGGGTGACGGTTGTTTTCCATATCGCATTAAATTACAACAGACAATCTTTCCATTGAATCTATTGCGTTTTCTGAGGAAAAGAATAGAGAGTCTAGTCTACATGAACCGTTCATAACAATTATAACTGGGGCTATAATTACGTGTTTTAATTGAAAATATTAAGACGGGTGTGCTAGAAAGTTGTTTCAAGAGGCAACAATTTGCACTGGGAAAATCAATGTTTGTTTTATATATGTATCGTTTCAATACAAAAGTCATAAGGACATCAAAGCGGCAATGGGTTAAACTGAACTAGACAATGAACAGAAATCTAACAAAAATAATAGTATTACAAAGATTTATTCTCTACATCTACATAATAATTGTCTCGTACATAAAAAATAACAATAATAAGAAACTGTTCTGGACAAAAAATAAATGTAAGCAACTTCCAAAATATATATGTATATTGCAATACGCTAACAAATATCACAGTTTTTTTTCTGTCATATATAAAGAAAAATCATAGAGCAAGTATTTTTTTTTTTAAACTTTTCAAAAGCAAACATATTGGAAAAATCATGTTTACTAATCTTATATTGCGACCATACTGTTTATACATTGAGGACACATGCATTTGTGTATGTTATTGGTTTGTGCTTCTGTTTCAGATACAAAAAATTCACATAAGTAAAACCCAAACACCATATCAAGTTACTGCAAACAATGAATCAATGATAAATTTCAAAATAAATTTTGAAAGATGCAAATGGCCTATTTGGCATTGCAAAATTTAAACATTTATTTAATTTGGAAATGTCTTACTCACTATGGGGACAGTGATAATATCAGTTTTGTGTTGTTGTTTTTTCTGAAGTTTGAAAATGGACTTATCTAACGAAAGAAGTATTGCAAAAAAAATATTTAAACAACGACTTATTATAGTTATACAACTCCAATGATGTGGTTAAAATTAAATCTATGCTAATATAGCTTTATCATAGGAGTTGTGTTTCTTGTTGATATCAGTGAAAATACGAACAATTCAAGCGTTTGAGGGACGGAAAGTTCTAGAAAACGTTTAAACGCTATGGTCTATGTTTCTCTTCCGGTAGAAAGTTTGGTTAATGAGGTAAGTTACTATACAGAAATGCAAGAAAAATAAGACTGTTATTACACTACTCCTTTGGTGGCTTCAGATCAGGGTCCAATGTAAACACTATGTTTTCTGTCCTACAGGCTGATTGTCTGTATTCTTTCAAAGAACCGTACTGATCTGTGAAGTAAAAAATAAATGTTTTGATATTCAATCTTATTCAACACTGGCCGGGGTAATGTCACTTGGTACTTTTCTCATTTTGTATACACATTGTAAGAATATATAGTGAATATGTTGAAAGAATTAATATTTATCACAAACGGAATGTTTTATACACAGTGAACTTTAGCAAATATTTTCAAACATTAATTTTGTTTGATTACTTTAGGAAATACTTTCTAAATTTGGTTTGTTAACATTGTATTTTATTTGATATGTTATACATTATTTGTGTTTTCTTACTGATGTTTTTTTATTCTTAAATAACTTCAAAATAGTGTGCATTATTTTCATATATATGGGGTTTAGTGGTCTATGCAGTAGTGCAGGTCTTCATCTTTTTGTGGAATTGCAAAACTGTTAGGGTGCAATCGGTTACCTAGTATAGTACAGTTTTTCCAGCTACTTGCCCAAATTATCATCTGGTTTACCATGTTGAGCACCCCAGTTTCCCGTCTAATAAAGTTAATCACCATTAATTTGAAATAAATGATTTCAACTCTACCAATAATCAGTGTTGGTCCGTACCCTCTATTCATGCAAGTCCATCCCCTCTATTCATGCAAGACCATCCCAAGTTTTATTGGAATTAGAACATGTATTTGTTTACAAATTAAAAGCAGCACGTCTAATAAAAATTGATGATAAATACCTGAGTAATATAATGCGTCCACATTTGCTGGAGAATCAAAAGCATTCAATACACAGTAACTTCCCCTTTTAAACCAACCATTTCTAAAACCATCGATTTCATAAGAAGCCACGACGCCATGTTTTACATGAAAACTGTCCAGTATTGGGGTAACTTTGTCTACATATCGGTCCTGGAACTGTGCATCCATAAAATCAGACAACTCTATAAGTTGGAAAGTTAAGTGACCTGGAAAATAATAAATATACGTGTACGAATCTTAGTATGTGCAAATAGGTGAGAAATGGGCCGAGACTAACATTTATAATATAGTACCAACTATTTCCCGTTTATTTCTATGTAAATTAGTAATTATATTTGTCAATCTAAGATGGAGGGCCTTTCCGAATCGATATAAAATCATATTGTACTTCAGGAAAATATTTTGTAAATTAACTTTTTTTTACGTATTTCAAGCTCTAGGTAGGTTTCGGAACAAGCGATAAAACGATATAGCATATTTAAACAAAAAAATCAACAGAACAACAATATGGAACAAGAGATACAACCGCTTTTGTGTCAAAAAGAATTTAAACAGTTGAGCAATGAGTCCGTCACCAAACGTGAAATTACACTGCAATGGGGTATTGTATCTTATATGAAGTAGCCAGCCATTCTGAAATATTTTAAAAATCAAATTACATGGGGAAAAATTCGTAAGGGTTCCGCGGAACCCAGTGTCTCGCCTACTTTTGCTGTTAATCGCAGGCTCAACAAAAATGAGATGAGGAAAAAATTTAATAAAAATATTCCTCTCAATACAATTTGTTTATTGTAAAAAGCTTCTGTCCAAGTTTGGTAAAAATCCAGGATAGTTTATGAATCTAATAAATGTTTTGAAAAATTTAACTGCAGACTGTATGTAATGTTAACTCGAAGAAAAACTAAGTCCATTTATAAGTAAAATATGGATAAACAAGAACAAAATTTTAATAAAAATTTCCTTCTAGATACTAGCTTTTGATCATAAACAAACTTCTGTCCATGTTTGGTACAAATCCAGGAGAGTTTAAGAAAGTTATTAAAATTTTAAAAACTTTAACCACAGAGTGAATGTAATGTTTCCTGGCAGAAAAATTAAGTCCATTTATAAGTAAAATACGGAAAAACAGGATTTGTTTTTTTAAATTTACTTCTGGATACTATCTTATGATCATAAACAAGCTTCTGTCCAAGTTTGGTAGAAATCCAGGATAGTTTGAGAAAGTTATTAAAATTTTAAAAACTTTAACCACAGAGTGAATGTAATGTTTCCTGGCAGAAAAATTAAGTCCATTTATAAGTAAAATACGGAAAAACAGGATTTTTTTCTATAATTTACTTCTGGATACTATCTTATGATCATAAACAAGCTTCTGTCCAAGTTTGGTAGAAATCCAGGATAGTTTAAAAAAGTTATTAAAATTTCAAAAACTTTAACCACAGAGTGAATTTTTGTGGACGCCGCCGCCGCCGACGACGACGACGACGCCAACGCCGACGCCGACGGAATGTAGGATCGCTATGTCTCGCTTTTTCGACAAAAGTCGAAGGCTCGACAAAAATCAATGTTTTAAAATTTCCATAATATTTAAATTTTTTGTTCTCATAATTGACATTTTTTGGTTCTCAAGATTACTCAATTGAATTGCTTTATATTTTTCATGTCTGGGCCTTTTATAACCGACTATACGGTATGGGTTTTTTCTCATTGTTGAAGGCCGTACGATTGCCTATAATTGCTTACATCCACTTCACTTGAATTTTTGTGGATAGTTGTCTCATTGGTAATCATATTTCTTGCACTGTAGATATATCGAGACATGCTGATCCTCGCAATATGTTAACCATATTGCACTCGACAGCTTTATACCTCTAGGGATAATAAGTTTCAATTTTGTACACACTCGTATGTTGATCGAAGGGGTCATAAATTTTGTTTTTTATGGATAATTGCCAGCCTTGAATTAGTGCAAAATGTCCGAGAGACATCTTGCAACAAGACAAATGCAATCAAAAATATATCTATTGTCATTAAAATTCATTAAATTCCCGTCGAATGGAACATGCAATCAAATAAAATAAGTTCTACATGGCCCCTGAAAATGGTATGGTGTGTAAGAATTCAACATGTACAACGATCATCAACATATTTACATTATATTCTATACATTGTAAATCAGGCATGGGGTAATGCAAATTTGTAATTGTAATGCATGGTAATGCATTACATTTTTCCAAGTAATTGCATGTAATGTGTAATGCAGCAATTTGTGAATTACATGTAATTGTAATATAATGCATTACTTTAGCAAAAAGTTGTATAATTTCATGCATTACATGTCATTACATGTCATTACTTTTTTCACATACTACATCTTTAACATATTGTTGGAGTTTTAACTAAACCAAATTTAAGATTTCTTGATTAACTAAGAATATGTTAATCATTAGAATATATTCTGTATTTCATCTTATTTCATACATTTTCCTGCATAAAAAGATTGATATTTGAAAAGCATAACTGTATTGTTGTCATAAGATCAAAGAATATCTTGTCTTGCTTAAATAAAAGATAATTAAACTTTGTTATAAAACACTAATTAGTTTGTTTTACAATCAATATTTTCACCATTTAGACAATCGTTCATTAATTAAGGTCTATGTTTATTTTATAATTAAGGAAGTAATTCACAGTAATTAAATATTTCGTATAAAATTAAAAGAAAACAACAAAAAGTATATTTATAAAAGTCGAGTCAACATTAAGTTAAAATAATTAAAATTGTAAAAGTCGAGTTAAATAGACTTTTACATGTATACTTATATTCAATTCATGGAACAATTACTGCATATGCTAGAATCTTTTGTGATTTCTAGTTGTTTTTCAAAATGTTTAATTTTTCTATTCACTTAATAAAATTTTCAAATGTAATGTGTAATTCAAGGCATTACTTGGCAAAAGTAATTGTAATATAATGCATTACTTTGATAAATGCATGTAATTGTAATTGTAATATAATGCATGGTTTGGTCAAAGTAATTGTAATATAATGCATGGTTTGGTCAAAGCAATTGTAATATAATGCATTACATTGCAATGTAATTCGCCCCATGCCTGTTGTAAATGAACCAATAAAAGAAGTCCCCCGCCATGTGAACGACAATATTAACACCGACAAAGGAGATTTACAAGTATATAAATTAACAATCTTGTCGAATAAAAAATAATGTATAATATAGATTATATGAACTGAAGTCGAATTCAAATATCATTTTTAAAACGACATGGTTCATTTAACATTTGGCCTTCCTTGATACTCGAAACGAAGGCTTTTTCTCATTACAATCAGTTATTGCATACAATAGAATCAGTCTCGTAAATTTAGACTTGTAAGCAATAAATATTGCTGAAAATTGATCGATGTATCAGGTAATTCCGATTTCTGCTGGGTACTGGTATGACACACCTAGAATTCTCAAAAGAGGATAGTCAAAGTGAAAAAGTATACATGATTTTAACAAGCAACAAAGCAGTTTGCTTACTAGTAAAAAATGTTTTAAATTTACATGTTTACTGGTTTAAATGTTGCTAAAACTATGTATTTGCCATGTATCCTTTAGTGGATTTTCCCATACCCAAAAATTGACATGTATTTAATATTGGAGGGGTGACATCCATCAATTAATCAACCAACCTTTCAACGACCAGTTCAACTTATTTATGTGATAGAACTAAAAAAAATGAAAATGAATATCAATATATATGGCAGTGCTTACTTTTTGGAGGCTTATATTTCAATGGTGCAATTATAATCTCTAAACTTGATGATGGTAAAGGCCACTCTTTATCCCGAAATTTCCTGTCACTGTTAAGCCACCGTTCAGCACATTCTTTGTTAACAAATTGCATCAATAATACTCCTTGATTACATGGCCAATTTCCTTCGTATATTGTCACCTGCAATGGATAGAGGTATATAATTACTCAACTAACACTAGTCATTTTTTACATTCAAAGATCTTCCAAATGTAGAGGCAGAAAAAACAGGAAAGTTGAATTACCTAAAGCAAATGTATATCATTAACAGGTATTGAACTACATGATTTGTCCATACACTAAAGTATCAACAGAAACTTTATTTTCTTTTCTTAGGATCTTTTAAAGACCGTCAATTTTGCTTGTATTTCATAAAAAAAAAATATGCATAGATTCTATTTCTTAAAACGATAACATGTTACGAGTATTTTAAACGTCTTCACCGGCTTGTATGATTGTTTTAAGAGATCAAACAATATATCCTTAATCATAACAACATGAGAATGTTTTCTTTCTTGTACATGTATTTAATTTGAAAAATACATTTCAAGTAAATTTAAAGGTCCTTCAATCCCCTATCTTTATCATTGTCGTCGCTTACTAAATGCTTCGTGTTTCACTTGTTTTACATAAACAAAAACTCTTGAAAATTAACATACTGTATTATACTCACCCCCGAAGCAAGTCCCAGAACTCTTCCATTATAATTTTCGATGACTTTCTTTTCTCTATAACAGGCAGTTCTCACCAGTTCACAAACCTCGTTCCTAAATCTCATCAGCACGTAAACTTCATCTTTTGCTTTTTCATACTAGTAAAATGATAATAATAAATTACTGGACTTAAAAATACGTGAAATTGCTATTGTTATTAAAACAAAAATGAAAGCTTTGGTGATTTTTGTTTTTAATCTACCACAAGAAGTGTAAGATATAGTACAACCTAGGTTTCAATAAACAAATAAACAGACAGAAAAACAAAAGTTTGCAAAAACTGATAATGATAAAAACAAAACAAAACAAAAAGACCAAATACCAAAAGAGGCATCAAGCAAAATATTTTTTTCGAATATTGGTACTGTTCTTATGACACACTTTTCAAAAAATAAATTTATCAAAATGATGTGTCAACTAGCTTGAGATTATTGACAGTATGAATGAATATATATATAAAGTGAAGACGGTATGTTGACCTATATATGTCTCCTGTTGTTGGGGTGCTGTCTTATTGACGTATACACCACATCTCCTTTTATACAAATGTACTGCAAAAGCAAAACTAATAGGTCAGGGAACTGTACCATTTGAAAGCAAAACAAAAAGGGCGGGAAATATATATTACTTAAAAGCAGAACTAATAGGTCGATGAACAGTGGACGAGAAAAAACAAATCTACCAGGATAAAAAAAAAACAGTCTCGATTGTCACATTCTGGAATTCGTACAGACACTTTCAGAGTAAAATGCATTTAACAATTGGCAATGGAAATTAATTTTGACTAAGAGGGAGTAGCTAAGCTGGTGGATAAGAATTGATTTATAAAAGTTTATGAATTTAATAGAAATAATTTTTTTAAAGTTTAACTTTTAAACGTTAAAAAGCACGTATAAAAAGTGAAACAATTTGGCTGAAAAGTGAGGAAAGGAAAACATATCAAGTGGCAAGCTTTCAGTCTTTGTTATCCTTTTTATGCTGCTAAAAGGTGTGATCATATGAATTATCTCATATAGCTTTCATGATGTGCATAGAAAGTATCGTGTATAAATTATTGACTATCGCGTGGTTTCAACGAGCTTTTATTACGATAAGAATTTCAGCATGAATAATTCATACCGTTGGTCCTTATTATAAATTCGTTATAGCTGCAGTATGTTTTGTTTTTATAAATATAGATAGAGTTTTGTGTCAGCTACCATGGAACTTAATTATACTGCGTAAGTGTAATTTTGAACTGTGTTATACCTAAGCAACGATTCCAATGATATGCCAGAAAGGTTATTGGAAGTGCAATTCAAAAGTGATCAGAAACAGTTTAATACACATGTCCATGTATATATTTGTTAGAAAAGAATTCCTGAAGCATAATGATTACACGATTTTAACAAACAACCTTGACATTTCAAATTGTCTTTGAATTTTATTTAAAGGAATATCCTTTGTTAACTGTAAATGATATGTAATTTGTATACTATTATTGAATACATATGTGTGTTAAGCAAATTTTAACATTGTAAGGGTGTCAATATGTGTCAAGAAGGGTTCAATTACATGATCAATGAGAACCCAACTTAATTATATGGTAGAATTTTTTAACTATTTGTAGAAAGAATTGTTATTGACATGACAATACTTTAGTGTATTGTATAATCAGTGTTCTCATAATAACAATATTTTGATAGGTACTTGACTTTTCACTGATGCAAGAATACGTTTAAATATGTTATATTGGTAAACCTTTACTAAATTTTCAGTCTTTCGATATGAAAATTAACAGAGGGGAGTTCGAAACACCTTTTGTTTCAAATACGTAAGATGCTGAATGTTTTTTTTTGTTCAAACAAACCTTTGGAGTGTAGACGTACCATTTATCGTTGAATGGAGTGTGTTTATCGATAAAATCGGTTAACTAAACCCACCCCCAATTAGGTGTAGTCAATATACTTGAACCATACCCAATCCAACCGTTTTATCGATTACCATAATGATATATTACCTGGTGCTTAATTATGCTTAATTATACGTTGAGAGACTTTGAAGATTGTAAACTGACTGGTTAAAAAATATTTCCTTAAATTTAAAGGGTAACTATTTCATGCCTATTTGGGATGAAAACAAGTTAATAAAATATCAATTAATATTGTACTAAATGTGTGTAGATCAAGAGAAACTCAGTGAGCTTGTCTGCCACTTGAAAACAAGAATGTAACGGATGAGGTCAGAAAATTACTGCTACAACAGGTCATATTCCTGTTCCCAAATTGAGCTGTTGGTCAGATTACTGATTTGGAGTCGTACGTTGGGTGATCGGCCGGACGGGCGTGTGGCCTGTTTTGTTCAACCAGGCGGCCCTTCGTTGTTTCCTTGCAATAACTTGCTAACTGTTCAACAATTTTCAAGTTTTAATCTGCTTTTTTTTCTGATGACAAAATGAGGTCTTTGCATATTGGCGTTCAGGAGTTATGGCCCTTTACTGCTTTAACAATGGCTCTAATAAATGTACTAAAAGCTAATTTGCTTTTATTTTGACATCTTCTTGTTTTAATGTTCTAAAAGCGTAGCACTCTGTCAACATCTGCCTTGGATTTTGACGTTCCCAGTCAAACTAGACGAGAAGGCATGTTGAATTTGTGAATCCGATATAGCCAAACGGACTTCTCCTCAGCAAGGATATTACTGTCGGGCTAAAAAGGTCCAAGAGATAATAACGACAAAAACAGTGGCGTTTGAAGCATTTCCACTAAACATTGTCATTGCTACAAAAACTATTTAAGGGATCTGCACATGACTTGTTACGACAAAAAAATGTGTGTTCTCATACATGTAATTTTGCCACTAAACATTCAGTTCCCTATAAAAAATTATGCAGCAGAGACAATCTTCTGACAAAGATAATTCTCTCTTGATAATAAGCTGGTATGCTAAATTACCATTTGGCATTACAGAGTGGTACAAATTGCAGGAAAAATTTGATTGTACAAAATTATTCATTTTACGGGGAAACGATAAATTCGCCATTCCTGTCATATTGATATACTAGTAGCATCCACTTACCTGCGACCCACAGCTTCCCTTTTTATCACCAGGCATTGCCCCTAAAATAAAACAGAACTATTTTATCATTATTTTGTATCATATGCGAAAGTTTCGATCACCAAAAAATTACGATTAAAGTAAAAGCAGACGGCTGAACCGCAATCTTTTAATTTATACAAAACAGAGCAGGAACGTATAACTTGATGACTGCCAGTTATTTGCCCTATATGGAAATAAATGATGATTCGGAAAAAAAGTACATTGAAAGTCGAAATACAATGTTCTATAATATAGAAAACAAAAGAGATTTTTGACAAATTTCCTCTGAATTTTACTTACAGAATTCGTTTTTGAAAATTGTGGAAATCTGTTTAAAAAGAAGGAAAATTCGTTTGATACCGATTTTCGTGTGCATGTCACGTGTTTCTGAATGACCTTCACTGTAGTACGCTAGAGGTCAGAACATGATAAAGTCTAAATTTTAAATCGGACGAAGGACATAAAACTTAAAGGACCTAAACGGAACAGCCAAAATCGACTATGATCAGTTTTTCCTGTGGGAGTACCACTGGACGTTAAGTAAGCAACAATTCATCAATCAATCATGTTGGAGCTGTAACTTAAGTTTAAGTACAATAACAGAATTTATGAACAGTAAATTTATTTCTAACATCATTCAAGTACCGAAGTATCTGCTAATGGGCTTTATAACCCTCATATATTTAAAACTTTAAATATTTTTCTACATTTTTAAATTTTATCAAGCCGTATATGCTTCTATAAAAGACATTTCTATGTGCCTAATTTTGTATGTTTTTGCTCAAATTTGGCATTAATGGACATCCAGACTTTTTTCCAGAGCCAAGACAATACACCATGTACATAGATACCTTGTGCAATATATAGAAATTTGTTTGGATTTGGTATGGAATGCCCTTTATACTCATTCCTTTTTAGATAAATCCTTAAATTTTGTCAAAATCATCGATAGTTGCCGTTTTGAGCAAGCAATGAGCATTTAATGATTTATAAGTTCAGACATATACATGACATTCATGTTGTCAGAAAATCAAATTAAACGTATGAAGCCGTATTAATACTGACGATGTGTGTAAATCAAAACGTTTTTGAAAAGAACATGTAAATACAGCAGAAATTGACCTTCCCTCTTTCAATATAAATATTTGAATAAAAGGATATGCAAAAGTTATACAATGTACGTTTTAACTCTTTAAATAGAAATAATTGAATAAAAGGATATGCGAGGTATACAATGTCAGTACGTCAACGATACTGCCACTCAGCAACAGGAAAACATGCAGATGCCTTTATTTTTAGGTTTTAGTGAAGCATACAGCGGAACGTAAATGAATTACTAGTATACACCGACTAAAGAACATAGATAAATGAACCGTTAGCGCTTTATTAAAATCTCCCATTAATTTAAACGGCAAATCTATATTATGCAAATTAAATTACCACTTTTCATTTCCAGTATATTTTTATTTGATTTATATTGAAGAAAAATGTTTGTGACAAATTGAATGTTTACACGTTAAACTTGAACTTAACTAATAATTGGTAAACACAGAATACTATATATTGAACGATTTGTTTAACCCTTAATGTTTATGAAATGTTACACGTATAAGTATTTTACCAAAGGGACAAGAAGAGGTTGACTTCACGAGTTTTTGCTTAAAGTCAATATGGATTTTGCTTACTCATTTCGACTCTGGTGGATAGTTGTCTCATTCGCAATCATGCCCGTCAACTCTCTATATTATATCAAAATATGCATGTATCATGCTCAAATTGAAATCCTACCTTTTTTTCTGCCCTACTCTATCACCCTCCTATAATAAAACCAGTGGTTATTTCATTCGTTCAGTTACCTTTATTCTAAGTCCTGTTATAAGTTTTGGGAAAAAAGAATGTGCTGTTGATTTTAAGGGGTATTATAATTAGACTTCTTTTAGACGTATCATAATCCGATTCTTTTATAAATTTATCCTACTACACACAGGTATACGTCTCAAAAGCTATATTTAAAATTCTTTTGAAATACCCCTTGGATTATAGAGTTACAAATCTGTGCCGTATCAGAAAAACACACGCTATACCTTAATCCAATCAAAATAGTAACGGCAATAGAGTAAATACCCGGACATAATTAGTACATCATTATCAAGTTCGTACATGATCAGGTTATATATTCATGACAACAAATCAGGAATCGATTTTTATGCAACTATGTCAATCGATGTTTTAAAATATTTCAACATTTCTTCTAACAATCTTATTTCGTTGCTAAGGTAAACTACTCGACAAAAAGAACCAACTAAGAAATTCAATGTATTTAAAAACACTTACCTTTTTAAAAATTATGACTGTTTGTAATAAAATGTTATTATGTTGCCGAACAGTAAATGAAAACAATAGTGAAATATGTCAATTTCACTGATTAACACCTTTAGAAATTGACACCACTTGAAGAAATGTACACCAAAACGTATCAATATCTATTAGTACGAGGAAGGATGTTTATCAACGACAACAGTAACGTCACCTGGTGGTAGGTTTATTGATTAACTTGTACCGCAGGTAAAATACAATTTGATCGAATTGACAGACCAGATTTTGCATCTCGATTTTAGGTTTAAATCACCGTTTAATATTTAACAAGTATGCCTTTCATAATGTTTGAAAGCTTACATGATCTTACATGATCGATTCCAATCGAATTATTTACTGAAGGCATTAAATCTACATAATAAATTAAGTAGACTGAAGTCTCGTAAATTAGAAATATTCAAAGGTCTATCAATGTAAGTAAAATTGTGCATTGAGGAGTAATATTTTCGAAACAAAATCGCATCTACATGATACAAAATCACAGAATATCTATACAGACAAAAAAACCGAAAGAACATAAAACAAAAGAAAGGAAATCTTTAACGCAACATGGATAGATAGGTCACACGTACAGTAAAGATATTAAAAAGGTTGAAATCAAATCCGAAAAACTTAGGACTTAGTGGGAAATATGAATATAAACAAAACGCATATACAAAGAGAAAAATACGTAATAGAAATAATAAAGATTAATAAACAAATAACGATGAAAAAAAATTGAGCATTGGAAAATAATCTCTAATTACAAAAAGGAAATCATATAATCCTGAAAAAAAGAAGAAAGAAGTCAAGAATGACAGAAATGAATCTAACATAGTGTTAGAAAAGAAAGCAAGAAATTTGAAAAAAAAATCGAAAAATGGAAAAGGAAAATGCAACTATAATTAACAGAGTGATGAAAAATCTGAATGGATATCGAAAAAATCTTACGTTTAGGAATATTTAAACAAAGCCCCCCCCAAAAAAACATGCGGGGGTGTTATTAACATAATGTATTTTTGTTGAACATTGATGTTACCTGAAAAAAATTTATAATAACACTTTGATCTGAATAATTATGATAATTAATGTTTTTTTCATAGAAGTGTTTTTGTTTTTCAACAGTTTTAAAATTATTGATAAAAAGATAATGACTATTCTCAGAGAAGTCAAATCAGAAAAAAATGATAATTAATGTATAACAAAAACGATTTACAGTTTAGATGATTGATTGATTGTTGTTTGCTTAAACGTCTAGTGCACTGGCAGAATCGCATGCTTGACGAAAACAAATTCATAATATTAAAACAAATAGGTTGATTCAGCAATGTGGGAAGACTGACATGAAAGGCGCTAAATTAAAAATGAAATGCAACAGTCCACTTAAGGGCCCTCAGAAAATTGTTATAGGGTTCTTTAAGGTGCGGAGTGCACTCTCAGAACAGGAGGATTTGGATTTCATGTTTAAATTCCAAATGTACATGATTGCGTATTTATACATCCCACTCAACCAAACAGACACCAACTAAGCATAGGTCTTAGTGCCATATTGGAGTAGTTTAAAAGGTAAAGATATTTCTATAAACCAGTAACACTAGATTTGATTACAACCCTCATCCAAAAAAAAAAAAACAAAACAAAACAAAATAAACCATTTCTTAATCTTTCAGAGTCATTCAATTAGCAGGGTGCAATATACACATCATTGTTCGACCCCTTCAAATTGCACACAAACGCACAAAAACGATTTCAATTTTCAAATACTCTCAAAAGTATGTTATTAAAGTATCGTGCCACGTTAGTTCATGAATTATAATGTCACTAACGTCCAAGAGAGAGGCGAAAGATACAAAAGGGACATTCAAACACATAGGTCAAAAATAAACTGACAATGTCATGGAAAAAAAAGAAAAAGAAAAAAAAAAAAAAAAACAGCAGTCTACAAAACACATCATAGAAAACTAAAGACTGAGTTACCATGGTTACATGAACCCCACCAAAGATATTACAGTTGCTATATTGAAAAGACGTAAACACTAACTTTGAAGTTCACGTTCTGCTTAATAAATTATGTCCTTTCACTGAATACTAATCCAAAGTTAAGTGACTATAATGATCACATATATCCCATTGCATTTGGTAAGTAAAGTATACTACAGATGCAGCTATTTCTGTTTTGCCCTAACATACACCAAGAAATGGATAGTGGGGGCCATTTATGAACAAAACGGTACAACACAAGAGATAACTTTAATTTTCCCTTTCTGGATTTTTGACTGTTATGCTAATCAGAGGCAAAAGATAGTAAAGGGATATTCAAACTCATAAGTCGAAAACAACGCCATGGCAAAATACGAAAAAACGACCAAAAGACAAGCAAGAGTATACAGAACACAATATAGAAAATTAATGACTGACCAACACGAACCCAACCAAAAACCAGGGTGATCTCAATTGTTCCATTTGTTGTAGTAAAACTCCCGTCTCCGTTTTATCTTATGACTAATCATCGGATTTTATGTCATGACGAAAACAACGGGTGTCACTAGTGGAGTTTGAACTGCTTATCAATTCGGAGAAGATTAGTAAATTCCATGTTTTTGTTGTAGTTCATGAGGCTTTTGCGTTTTGTGGTTATACACAAACTGGATTCGTATATTTCATATTCGGAAATGTCTTATGTTCAGAGAATTAGTATTGTGCATATATAAGTTGGTTTCTTAAGGTTAGACAGACAAGAACATCTTCCAGTTTGCCACCATAGGGTTGATTAGAGTATATGAATATGTTCAACTGACTATATCTCCTCCGACAGTAAACCCTGTTCTTAGTCCGCGACTGTTTAGATGTGCGGGATGTATAAACACACAACCAAGTCATCTTGAATTATATCTATGTTTTCAGCGCATTCTACGCTACCGATACGAAGTTGAATCATTGCAAAAACAATCGGGTAATTTCAAGGTAACAAATGTCAAGGGAAAATCCCCCTTAACCAAAACACCCTAATTTTTAAGCGGCTAGATTTCTTGTCTGTGATCTCAGTAGAACAATTTGCAAATCAACCAGAGTTGAAGGATATATGTTCTAGTCTAAAATTTGATCTATTTCCACTAAAAGGCAAACAAACAAACATTAAATCAAATTGATACACCTTAATTGTTCTTCAATTTGAATATTTGCTACTGGACGCTAAGTAAACATTTAATTCAAACTTAAAAAATAACATTAATAACTGCATATGAATTGGAGCATTTTGGACACAAACCACTTCATACAAAGCCTCATTACAAAATTCAAGATAAGCATTCTGTATTGGAAAAATGGCGCAAAATTCAACTAGAGGCCATCACAAAAAGTCATGAAGGGGGTGCCTTTCAAGTTCAACTTACTATTTTTTACCATGATCATGAATGCACAAATTTCTTTCATTTACGCGTTCTAGTAGTAGTGAAAATAATGCCAGGTTTCTTCCCCGAACTCCTTAGGATTCTAAAGTTAATCTGAGAGTCGAAACGGTGTTTGTACATATGAAACATGAGTGACTTCAAATTGTGTGTTGAATTAAGTTTTTTACTTTGAATTTCACTTTAAAGTTGTTTTTTTGTTGTTGAAAGTGACACACATAGTAGTGGTGAATGGGATGTCATGTTTCATTACCCAAATCCAAGGTTTTAAAGTAAGGGAACGAACAACTTTTGAAACTGACGCATAAACGGATAACATTTGATATTATTATACTTCACGTCAAAATGCCAGATTTTGATCGGTTAATACGAGAGAGACAATGTACTCTATCCCATGGAAAATACTCTATTACCCTTCACGGAGACGCTTGGTCAAGTGTGCGCTTCAATAAATACAGATGAGTGTTATCTACAAGACGACATAGTTTATTACTTTGAATTTGAAATTTAATAGACAGTTATAACAGAACATTCAGTATAATAAATTAAATAATACATATCTGGGAGGGTGATAGAGCAGATTGTTACCCCTCGAAAAGACATTTTCAACCTTGGCTTCGCCTAAGTTGACAATGTTTTCTCGGGGTAACAATCTGCTCTATCATCCTCTCAGCTGTGTGTTATTTATATACTGACCGGCAAGAACGGAGGAAGAAGCTGATTAAGTTAGCCAACAGGTCCTTATTTCAATCATGTTTTTGGATACCAAGTAAATGAGTCTTAAGGGCAAAAGTCAAAACTTCGAAGAAACAAATTCATAATAAAAAAAATAGGTTGATTCTGCAATGTGGATAGACTGACATAAAAGGCGCAAAAATTAGACTGCAACTGGATACGGGTTAAAATGTTGAAATGCAACAGTCAACTTAAGGGCTCTCAAAAAGATTTTGTAGGGTTCTTTAAGGTGCAGAGTGTGTGGTACTCTCAGAACAGGAGGATTCGGATTTTATATTGAAATTCCGAATGAATTTGACTGAGTATTTATACATCCCACTCAGCCAAACAGACGCCAATTAAGCATAGGTCTTATTGTCATATTGGAGTAGTTTAGGTAAAGATATTTCTATACACCAGTAACCCTAGATTTGGCTCCCAAACCCTCCCCCAAAAAACACAACAAAAAAAAACATTTCTTAATCTTTCAGAGTTATTCAGTTAGCAGGGGTAATATAGACATCATTGTTTGACCCCTTAAAATAACGGAAAACATTTAATACTGACGCACGAACGGACAGTGAAGCTGATTAATCGACGGGTCCTTACTTCAATCATGTATTTGGATACTAAATAAATGAGTCTAAAGGGCAAAAGTCAAAACTTCGAAGAAATGGAATGTAGAAAAGGCTTTATATACATTTTGTACGAAACAGTTGAATGTAAGAACAAGATTCATTGATAGTCATGCATTCCCCGGACAAATGGCCCGCCAGTGAAGGGGACTTTAAACAGTCGGAACCGCGTAAATTCCAAACAAAATAAACATAGTTAATCAACCTGGTTAGCATGTGCCATCAATGACATGCATCACCACTACTTACTGTCGTTACAAAATTATATTCAAGATCAAGTGCCACGACTGTGAACTGGCGTTGAATGTGTATAACAACTCGTGAAAAAGAAGTTGAAAATAGGAAAACTTAAATCATGACATAGATTCTAGTTATATAAGTCGCCTTTCTGTGTCAAAATAAGTACACAAAATGATATGATACAGATTGTT